ATGATTGAAACCAAAAATGCTTTTAATTACATTTTTAAACACATCTAGGTATTATAAATGATAAAGAATGCTAATATAGATATAAAATCGATATAATTTTTTTAAAAATAGCCTACTATGATTGAAACCAAAAATGCTTTCAATTGCATTTTTAAACACATCTAGGTTTTATAAATGATAAAGAATGCTAATATAGATATAAAATCGATATAATTTTTTTAAAAATAGCCTACTATGATTGAAACCAAAAATGCTTTCAATTGCATTTTTAAACACATCTAGGTATTATAAATGATAAAGAATGCTAATATAGATATAAAATCGATATAATTTTTTTAAAAATAGCCTACTATGATCAAAACCAAAAATGCTTTCAATTGCATTTTTAAACACATCTAGGTATTATAAATGATAAAGAATGCTAATATAGATATAAAATCGATATAATTTTTTTAAAAATAGCCTACTATGATCAAAACCAAAAATGCTTTGAATTGCATTTTTAAACACATCTAGGAATTATAAATGATAAAGAATGCTAATATAGATATAAAATCGATATAATTTTTTTAAAAATAGCCTACTATGATCAAAACCAAAAATGCTTTCAATTGCATTTTTAAACACATCTAGGTATTATAAATGATAAAGAATGCTAATATAGATATAAAATCGATATAATTTTTTTAAAAATAGCCTCCTATGATCAAAACCAAAAATGCTTTCAATTGCATTTTTAAACACATCTAAGTATTATAAATGATAAAGAATGCTAATATAGATATAAAATCGATATAATTTTTACCACGTTTTTATTTTATTTTACTACGTTTTTCTTTACTTGCTTTCTTGTTTGTTTGTTTGTTTGTTTGTTTGTTTGTTTGTTTGTTTGCAAAAAATTTCAAATCTTGCGATCAATTTTTCGACCACTTCTACTGCTCCAATCGAGCTCAAATTTTTAATGCACATGTATTCCCGGTGACAATACAATATTTTAACACTTTGGAAACACAAAAATGCTTAATTATAGTACAATTTATGTAAAACTTTTTTATATGGGAAAAAATCGAATGTCAATGATAAAAAATTTTGATTTGTATTAAATATTATACTTGTGATGCTCTAAAGTCATTTATATGATTCATTATAGTTTAATTAATATTACTAATTATTAATTATACCATAAATTTGAGCAGCTAAAGATATTCTGGTAAGACAAAAAAATTGACATCTAATTTTTTCATGAATATTCGTAAGTGAAAATTTGAATTTTCAAAAAAACCGTTAAGCACAAGTCCGTTACGAATTAATGCAAAATAACTATTAATATACGATGTGCATTTAGCACACATAGTTTGAGCATAAATTTATGCTGTTTTAAATGTATTGCATTATTTATAACACTTCACCAACTTAATTAAATTGACTTTTCTTTTTATTAACGGTTTGACGTATTTTTGCATAACATATAAATGATATTCATTGAATTTAAATTCGAAAATCCGTTATAAATACGTTACATATGTGATTTGCATCTTTATGTTAAGAATCCACACGTTATGAAGTAGAAATGGTACAGATAAACACAAAATCTTTACGAGTGATTTTTAATGTACTTTACTAATGAATGCTTTAAAAAAATTAAATTTTATAAAACGAATGAAAAATTTTGAAAGTCGTTACTAATTTCCCATTGAAAACTGGGAATTTATAAACAGTTGAACGCAACGAAGTGAAGTTCAACACACCTGTAACCTATAAACCTACTGTAATCTATAAACAGTTGAACGTAACGAAGTGCAACGAAGTGAAGTTCAACACACCTGTAACCTATAAACCTAATGTAATCTATAAACAGTTGAACGTAATGAAGTGCAACGAAGTGAAGTTCAACACACCTGTAACCTATAAACCTACTGTGATCTATAAACAGTTGAACGTAACGAAGTGCAACGAAGTGAAGTTCAACACACCTGTAACCTATAAACCTACTCTAATCTATAAACAGTTGAACGTAACGAAGTGCAACGAAGTGAAGTTCAACACACCTGTAACCTATAAACCTACTGTAATCTATAAACAGTTGAACGTAACGAAGTGCAGCGAAGTGAAGTTCAACACACCTGTAACCTATAAACCTAATGTAATCTATAAACAGTTGAACGTAACGAAGTGCAACGAAGTGAAGTTCAACACACCTGTAACCTATAAACCTACTGTGATCTATAAACAGTTGAACGTAACGAAGTGCAACGAAGTGAAGTTCAACACACCTGTAACCTATAAACCTACTCTAATCTATAAACAGTTGAACGTAACGAAGTGCAACGAAGTGGAGTTCAACACACCTGTAACCTATGAACCTACTGTGATCTATAAACAGTTGAACGTAACGAAGTGCAACGAAGTGAAGTTCAACACACCTGTAACCTATAAACCTACTCTAATCTATAAACAGTTGAACGTAACGAAGTGCAACGAAGTGAAGTTCAACACACCTGTAACCTATAAACCTACTGTGATCTATAAACAGTTGAACGTAACGAAGTGCAACGAAGTGCAACGAAGTGAAGTTCAACACACCTGTAACCTATAAACCTACTGTAATCTATAAACAGTTGAACGTAACGAAGTGCAACGAAGTGAAGTTCAACACACCTGTAACCTATAAACCTACTGTGATCTATAAACAGTTGAACGTAACGAAGTGCAACGAAGTGCAACGAAGTGGAGTTCAACACACCTGTAACCTATAAACCCCCTATAATCTTTATTTCTCTATTTCATTAGAATAAGACTAAAAAGTAGAAAATAAAATACTTTATAAAAAAAAACTTTTTAAAAAACTACGTTTTTCGCGTAGACTAAAAAGTAGAAAATAACTTTTATTCTTGGTTGTAAAGAATTTGGTTTTAAATTTTCAGATTATATTTAATAAATTTTTATATCCTAGTCAATATTGTTCACAAAGTTTCGAATAAGTGCACTTTGATCTTATCGTATAACTCAACAACTTAAAAACGTGGGCGCATTATAAGAGGAGAAATAAGTTTATGTGAAATCAATACTTTATGATAAACTTAAATTAATGCGCCCACGTTTTTAAGTTGTTGAGTTATACGATAAGATCAAAGTGCACTTATTCGAAACTTTGTGAACAATATTGACTAGGATATAAAAATTTATTAAATATAATCTGAAAATTTAAAACCAAATTCTTTACAACCAAGAATAAAAGTTATTTTCTACTTTTTAGTCTACGCGAAAAACGTAGTTTTTTAAAAAGTTTTTTTTTATAAAGTATTTTTTAGATAACTTAATTTATTTTAAAGCATATTCATTTGTAATTTTAACAGAAATTCACAAAAAATATCCGCATTGGGTTTCTACCCGATACACTAGTTGTCAAAAACATTTGTTTTGTAAATAATTCATATCGAAGAAAACAAGAAGAAATCTACTCAAATTGAATATTTTGGTGGGTAAAAATATTTCTATTCAAAATATTCAGAATCTACTCAAATCGAGGACCCCCAGTATAACTTGAAAGTATTAAAAAATGGAGAAGGGTCTAAAAATTGTGTTTTTATCGACGTTTTAAGTGAATGACCCTTTGTGATAATTATTATTTCTTCTCAAAAAAAACCAACCTGGCTTATATATTTCAATTTCATAAAGCTTAATATATACTTTTAGCTTACATTCTTTACCATGGAGTGATGAATCAAGTTAGTTAACAAAAAATGAATCAAAAAAAAAATCAGGGGAATAAAATCAATTATAATTTGGTAAAAAAATAATTATTAATTATATGTAAACGCTTGGCTGTGCTAAAAAGGTAAATAGACCTTAAATTTTTTCAAACTTCTAAGATAAATATAAACATGATTCTTTATTCCAATGGTGGAATATTAAACATTTTAACAGCTTTAAATTTTCATATCAATTTTCATAATCATTAAAAATGCACATGTGCCTAATTGTATAGATATAGATAATTGTTGGAAATTATTTATTCTTTTTGGTCAAGAACGAAATAGTATTCCTACAACGAGTAGGTACTCAGTTTGATACAAACCAGTGAATTTTAAACTGTTTATTTTTCTAGTAATATTATAAAACAACTGACCATCTGCTGCTGTTTCTGCAGAACTATCCTGTTTGTTTCTCTCTATATTTCTGATTTAAAAAATATTCAATAAATTTTCATATTTTTTAAAAAATTATATTCTCCATTAAAAATTAAATTTGAAATTATACCCTTTTTAATCTGTTTTTTTCTTAGTTTTAAAAGAAATGTTCAGTTTTTTAACGTAAAAAAAATCCATTATCACCCAAAAAAATGACCAGCTATTTCATACATGTTTTCAATAAGGTCATGAATCTCAATTTTTAAGCATTTATTACACTTAAGTTGGTGTATCACCAACAAATAAAGTGATCAGTTTTATAAGTCAATCACCATTATTTTCACTGAGCCTTGTAATTCAAGTATGGTTTTTGGTTAAAATTAGTAATCATATGTGCTTTGTTTGCATTAATAAATTCTATTGTTATAAAATGATGTTAAAGGTTTTATCCCAATGTTAGCAAAGAGAACAGAGTCCGTTACAAACAAAAAAATTTCAAAATTTTCGTGCGGTATTTTTTTAAAATTTCAAAATAAGAAAGTCCGTTACTTTTTATTTTTTTTAAACTAGCTGTTTTTTAAAGCATAAACATTTAAGGAATGCAATTTCATCACAGTGATTATCTTAATCATAAAAACTAGTAGGAATGTTAACTAAAATTACAAATTACTTGAAAAATAATAATTCACAACGAATTTTTTTAAAAAAAAGAACTTCGAAAATTCGATTTTCGACAAATAAGAACCTTAAAAATTCGAAGTTGGAATAATAAGAACTCAAAAATTTCTGTTTGCTAGCATTGGGTTTTATCTTTTAGTAAAAAGAAAAAAAAAATCATGCATAGAAAAGTAACGTTTTAATAAATTTTAGATACCGTTCAATAAGAAAAATACCTCTTACATCTCAAACTGGAAATTCGTCACGAACTGAGACTTCGAGAATATCCTCAGGAGTTTCAAATACCAAGCATGTCCCGATTGCGGAGAAACCAATGCTGGAAGACTAAAAATCATTGCATTATTGAAAATCAACCTCATCATTTGAAAATTGTCTGGAAAAAAATTAGTGATAGCCAGTAAAAGCATTTATTAAGTTACTTTACGCGATAGCAGAGCTAAAATTATTTGATAACTATTAATACTATATTATAGTGTTAAGATCATTATTTTAAAAATAATAATATTTGTTGTTATAAATTAAATAGTGTCTATTTCGTAACATAATAATAAAGCCATATTTAACTAAAATTTCGATTTATAAGCGTCGCTTAGTCTTTTTTCTGTAAATTGCTTCGAATGCAAAATTTAGGCTTCCCAGCTGTTTTTATCACTTCTAGCCTAAACCTATGGTTGATAATTCAACATTCTTCCAATTTATAAACCAATTGGAACTTTAAAAAACTGAGCGACGTTTTTCCTAATCAATGGGAAAATATATTTTGTAATCAAAAATTAAGCTTAATTTCAGAGATCGAAGCCGATTTTTTCGGCTTAACAGAATTTTTGTTTTTTTTTTTTTATCGAAAAAAGCTTTTTAACACCCATTTAAAGTAGCTAATTGAACTTTACATGCTTTACTATGATTACAAAAACATATTTTTTACAAACACAGATCTGTGGAATCGCCCAGCTCTGTTACAAAATCCCCCTTAAAAGCGAACGTAATAAGTGAACAGATCCCAGTGTAGTTAAATATATTTTAACTTCATTCCATATCATGTACGTTATTGTTTTTGGTCGATTTTTGCAGTTTTATAGAAAAGTAAAAATAATTGCCCTAGACAATGAACGTTATATCTGCTATTTTTTCAGGCAACCAGTGAACCTTCTTAGAATCATATTCGCTTTAAGTGATTTTTAAGTTAAGTGTGTTTTTAACCTCAAAACGTAAGAGCAACTTAAACTCATTTTTCTAATTTTGATGCTAAATTAAATCCAATGGAGTTTAAACTTAGCTTGAAGGTTTTTTGTTGGCATGGAAGTTGTCTGTCTTTCTGCAAGAGCCGTATTTTTAATTATAAATTCACTTACCTTTTATTAAAAATTTAAACATTTAAAAATGTTAAGTTCTTCCTTTTAACTTTTAAAGCATATTCATATTTAATACATAACCAAATTTCCTGGTAAATATTTGGAAAAAAATAAAATTAAAAACAAAAAATGGTTTTTATCAGTTTTTATATTTCATTACAATTTATTTCGTTTCAATAATAAATTTTCCTTCTTTTATATTTATATATACTATGGATATATATATATACACTACAACTTGCTTCTACACATTTATATCTTGATCATTTTTCTTTTTGTATGTAAATCAATAAAAAATTATTTGGTTTTGCATTAATTTTTTAAATTACTGTTTACGACTTTTCATATCTTTGCATTTCATTTGCAATGAGTGCAGACAATATTTTATATTTTTAATGAAATGATGTCAACATAGGAACCGTTCATTTATTATGTATATTTATCATGATAGGTCCCCTCCTACTTGTCTTGAAATTTATATATTATGAATTTTAAAAAATCATCTGAATAATAAGTAGAATAATTGAGAACCAATACAAATCTCCAATACAAGAAAACGTCATCAATTCTGATTTTAAAGGTAAGAAAAGCGCTCAAATTAAAATTGAAATTAAAGCATGTCGCACTCACTGCTATATATATTTATAACTATGATCCATATGCCGTAGAATTTCAAATGTCATTTAGTTATAAATTCTTACAAAAAAATTATTTCTATTATTGTTTAATTTTATATTAAATAACGAAATTTATTGAGCAGATATGATGTAGAATTTATTCCATTGAGGTTAAACTAATACTTAAAATTCAAATGTGAGATGTTTAAAAAATTTCATTACCTGTTATTCAAAACAAAGTAATGAAACAATAACATAAAATAAGCTAAAAGTAAGTTTGTTAAAAAAAATTTAAAGGAAAAAGACTTTTTAATGACGTTGAATATGTTTTTGTAGATTATTTATTATTTTTAGAATTCTACTTTAATATTGTTCATTATAAGTGTATGAAATAACCCGTCTTGTCTTAAATTCAAACTGCAAGATTACTTGAATGCACAACGAGAATGACATTTTACATGTAAATTTAAAAAATGGATCAGTTCAATAATATCCTATTTATTACAGTTTTAACCTACAGTAAATAAATATAAAAAAAAAAATATTCTCATTGTCAGTCATCCAACATAACAATTGCTCGTTTGTCAATTATATGTACCGTAAAGAACATAAATTATGAATTAATATTATTTTATTCTCCTTTAGTATTTAAATAAAAAATTTGTGAAAATATTTTTTTTTTAATTCTCGAAAAAATGGTCAATTTTAGACGAGCAGTTTTTGATTTATTTTTTCTTAAACATTTAAAAATTCTTCATTTTGTTATAAATTTGGCTTAAAACGGCAAATAAATGTTTTAAAATAGATTAACACATTGGTACAAAACTAATAAAATTTTCATATCAAAATTCATATGATTGAAGAAAAAGAAAATGTAATTTATAAATTGTAAAAAATTTGACTTTTGCTAGCTAAATGAATGACAAAATTAATTTATGAATTTAATTAATTTAATATATTTCTGTTATACGTAATAAATTTTTATATAAATTCGCGCGCTTTTTAACACATACTTAAGGGCAATTCTACGAAAAGGTTTCATGAAAATAATCCGTGTCAATTGCATGAAATTTTTTAATTATTTTATTTTCACTTGTGCATAGTTTTTCAAAAATCTAATTCTCATTTCCTTTTCTATTGGTTAAACTGTGAATTATGATTACATCTGCACTCAAATTACTTAGCTATGGCTTAAGAAATTCATGGTTTTAATTTTAATATTTGGTAGTTTTTTTTGGAATTATCTCCAAATTACTCTGTTTCACTTATGAAATTTTTCGTAGAATCCAAATTGCAGCTTAATTAAGGCTTCCACAAATATGATTTTGACATCGTTTTGAAGCTTTTACTTTAAGCTATTATAACTTTGTATACTTAGTATTACTGGAAATTTTACCACCTTAAAGATATTAATGAAAACATTTTGGAAATTTGGGCGAAAAAATTCATGTGAAACAGAGTAATTTTTCGTAGAATGTAAATAATTCTTTAATTAACCATTTTTTATATGTTTGGGTGAGAACAATATGTAGATCTCGGTAAAATCTACTATTAAATACATGAAACATGGGGAGTAATGCAACTGATAAAAAGAAATATAGATTTGGAGACAAATTTGTAGAAAAAATCATTCGTAGAATCGCCCTTAATAAATATTCTTCATAATATAATTATATCAATAATATATTTTACTCTGAATGTATATAAATTTTTCTTCGTTTTTTTATCGAACTATTAATGCTTTTTATTTAATATTTCGATTAATTTTAATTATAAACGCCTCGCGATATACCTTCACGATTTCTTGACTGCCATTTACAAGTAAGAATTCGAACATAAGTTCGTCGAAATGAAGCATTACAAAGTGCATATAAAATTGGATTTATTGTTGAATTAATGTAACAAAGTGCATAGAAAAAGTCCCATAGTTCTTGAGGTATGCACTTTGTGCATGTTGTTAGCGGTTTCAGCAATACTAAAATATTATACGGTAACCAAGTAATGATAAATGATAACAATATTGCTGATAAAGTCTTTGCCGCTTTTGATTCTTGTCGTTTTTCTTGGGATTTTTTCTTCTTATTCAGTGCAGTTTTTTGTTGTTGTTTTTCTCGTGCTGTTAGCACCGTTTTACGGGGTATGATTTTTGCATTTAATGGTAGTCTATTATTAAATTCATATGATGGATGTGGGGTGTTTAATGCAAAAGGATCCTTTTCGCCCTTTTTTAAAGTACCAAATTCATCAGCACTACTTGCACCAGCACCCGTTTTAGACACGATAATTTTGGACAAATTTGCATCTTCTGGGTACATTTTAATGGAAGGAAGTTTTAAGTCACATTCGGCATTCTCAACACCACAAGTACTTGGTCCACTACCTCGAGCATCAATACTGTCGATCGGCAGTCTTATTAATATTGTATAAACAGAATCTTGTGACAATGAACGCTTTAAGTTGGATGATTGTGACTTTTCATCATTATTTGATTTAATGCCAACATTACTTGACTGTGTAGCAATCAATGCTTGTTGCTGTCTATTCTTTCCAAATGCTGAAGGAGAATCATTTGGCATTGACTGACAATAACTTCCACGAGCATACGGATCGCGAATTATGTTTAAAGATGTACATCTACAATATTATGAATATTTAACCAACAGAGTGAAATATTATTAAAAATATAATCCAAACCTTGATACTGAGCTCTGCACAGGAGTCTCAGAAGTACACGGTGTACCATATTCACCATATGACTGTTCTCCTTCATAGTCACACCAATCACCAAAATCTTCAAATGAGTCCTCCTCCTGTCCAGAATGCCACCAAGCAACACACCAATTTTTTATACTTTCAAGGACTGAATCCGATTTACAATTTTTTGTCTAATAAAAGGAGACAAAAATATTTATGTAAAAATACTTAGAAGGAAACAAAACTTACACTTGTGCGTCTTGACAAATCATTTGATGAGTGTGGATGTGCTCCAGGAAAATAACTATTGCTTTCGTTGTCACCGGCTCCATGCGGTGGATGCCAAAAATTGGGATCAATGTATTCGCCAATTTGATGATTTACTGTTGAAGTTTCATCGCTTTGTATCAAATCAAAAAATAACCAATTAATTATGTTTTTTATGCTTGCTATTTTTGGCTTACCTTGAATTAGAACGTTTTGATGCATCTTTTTTAATGCTTTGATGACTTTTAGTCATAGCTCCTCCTCCACCACCAGCTTGCAAATTTGGCAAATCTTTTTGGCGTTTCTTTGTTTCACGCCATATACGAAAGTACAAAAAACACATTACGGTAACTGTTCATAAAAAGAAAAGAGACATTCTTGTTATATATCTTGCAATTGTGTTAAAAACTTAAAGAGTGTGTATCATACCGGGTACATAAAATGCAGCAATAGCTGTGATGAAAGTGATCAATTGATTCGTTTCAATGAACTGAATATAACATTCGTATTCAGGAACTGTTCTCTTTCCTTTTGGCATTTATAAAAAATAGGATGAATTTGTAGAAAAGGTCGACAATTATGAGAAATATTGTATAAAGCATGTAATAAAAAAGATTAAGTTTGATGAAAAAACAAATCGCACAAAATGTTTTTATACTACTCACTATGGGGCAAAATTGAAAAAGGAGGGACTTTTACTTTGATATCACCTCATTTTGTGCTGTTTCTACGATTCTATTGCTGTTAGAAGCTAATAATGAACATTCTGATTTTTCGAAAAAAAACGGGTTTCAGGTCCTAATAATTTAATATAAGGGCAATTCCACGGATGAGTTGAATTTCGAAAAAATTAAATTTTTGATCCATGTTCTTTAAAAATTTGATTGCTTCAAAAATAAACTTTAACTAAGCTTACACTTTTTAAAACGAGATAAGGATCTTTATTGACTATTAAACTTTTAGAAACAACATTCTAATCAAAGAAATAATTGTTAATTAAAGTAAAACTTTGCTTTTTAAAAATCATTTTTTCACGGATTTGGCTTAAGCGTTTGTATATTACATGAAATGCATTAAAATTATTCATTTTTCTGACAATTGAGTGTCTTTCAAGCCAAGTTAAGTATGCAGAATCATAAAAAAGGATAGAATGAACAGTATACCGAACATACAATGAGCATGCTCAGAGCACATTATTTGTGAGCCTATTAGCCTTTGTGAGAATGTGCTCATTTTCATACATTTCAGTGATGCGCTTACGGTACCTTCTTGAGCATGCTCAGTGAGCACATTCCTATGTGACATGTATTAAGCTCATTGAGTAAACTGATGAGCATACTCAAATGAGAAGGTAACATGTCACATGCAACATTTTTCTCATGTAACATTTTTATTGAATATACTCATGAACATTCTCAAAAAGTACAAACTTATAAATATTCTCAAAGAGTACATACTCATAAACGTACTCAAAGAATATATACTTAGTGAGTATATTTATGAGTATATGCTCATCTGAGCACACTCATGAGTGCACTCAAGTGAAGTTGCAAAATTCAAAAAATTAATTAAGCTAAAATTTGAGTATTATACGTTAGCTGAAATTAAGTACTGTTCCGTTTATTTCTGTGAATAATTTTGAAAGAGTTAAAATTATTAATATTTTATCTCAAATACTTAGAATGAAACATATAAATCTGGTCACCCATCCTTGTTGAAATATCTTCTGCGTTGCTTAACTTCTGTCATCTCACACTTTTCCTTGGAGCTATTGTCTGTAAATATATAATAATTTATATATGGCATAACACATAGTTAAATTATTATATTTTTACAGCCGAACTAAGTTCTTTGAAGTTTGGATCTTATTGAGCACCAATTTTTACGTTTTCGATTTTGCTGACATTTTTAAAAAATGTCAGCTTCCTTAAAAAATCATTATTTTAACGTTTTCGATTTAGCTGACATTTTTAAAAAACGTCAGTTTCCTTAAAAACTCATTATTTTAACGTTTTCGATTAAGCTGACATTTTTTTAAAAAAGGTACACAATTTGCTCTTGAATAAACTCAGTAAGTGCACTCATATGAGAATATAAAAAAAAATTGTGTGACACAGAAGTGAGTTTTCTTCTGTATGATTATCCTTTCATATCTTGTTTTATTGAGAACAATTCTCAAGAATTTGTTTTGCAGTACTTGAAGTTTTTGAAGGTGGGTTTTTCCATGCTTCCAAACACTGGACAACCATATGTGAATATTGGTCTGATGGCTAGCTTGTAGATGAGAAGTTTGTTTCGTACGTCGAGTTGTGAGTTCCTGCTGATGAGCGGATAAAGCTCTCTTAAATCGGTGTGAGCCCTATTGGTCACATACTCCACATGCGGCTTTAATGTTACTCTCTTGTCGATCACCATTCCCAGATATTTAGCTTCTGTTTCCCATTTGATGTTTTCGTTGAGAAATTTGATGTTATTTCCTGGAAGTTGCCTGGAGTGCCTGTTTGTAATGAATAAGGCTTGAGTCTTCTGTTTGTTGAGGTTGATCTTCCATTTGCTCATGTATTGTTGAACTTTTCTTCCTGTGTGCTGTAGATGTGTCACAATATCGGCCGAGTTCTCTGCAGAATGATACAGTGCTGTATCATCTGCGAAAAGACCGATGTTGTTGGTTGTCTCTCTTACAACATCATACGTCAAATGCTTTTCCAGACTCTGTCAAATGCTTTTTCTACATCCAGGAAGATCATACCTGTGGCACCAATCTTCCAGGAAACAATACTTGCAAGTTGAGGTTGGTCTTAGTCATAAATATGGGCCTAGCTCGGGATCGACCCGAAATTTAGAAAAATGTCATCAATCGTTAGAAAGCTATACCAAACTGAACACTAGTTTTAAAGTTGTGATAGTTTAAATGATAAGAAAACAATAAAAGTCATGAGATATCAAACATACCCCATACCTAGGCTGACCATCTGCTTGGTTTTTCAGTGGAAAGTCTAGAGTTTTTTTTTCATTTTTTTAATATTTAATATTTTTCAAATATAAAATTGTTTTGTTATGTTTTAATTCGTCCAGAAAACGAATAAAATAAGCAGACACGTAGGATGTCCTCTATTTTACTTTTAGGTCCTCTTTTTATGAAAAAATATCTGGTAAAATTGATTAAAAACCTAATTAAATTAATGCAGTTGTTGTTTATAATTCTTTATGGCAAAAATCAATTTTTTGTCGAAGAACTCACTAAGTTGTCATAACTTTTCAATGTGCAATTATATCTGGTAATGTTTTTACAGTTATAAAAACTAGAAATCAAGAGCTACAGGAAAGCATAATCAAAACTATCTGATCTTATGATATATTCTGATGAATTTTCACATATTTCCTAGCATATTAGTATCGAAACTAATTTTTTTTAGATTTGTAGTGTGGAAAATTCAGGCTCTTATATTAAGTTATTAGCCGTTATTAGGAACTGAATTATTCATTACGTTGCAACGGTTTTTCATCTTCAAGCATCGTAAAATCCTATGAACTTAAAGGTTGAGTAAAAAAATCAGAATTTTCACACATTATCAGCTTCAAACAGCCACAGAATCGCAGAGACAGCATTAAATGAATTAAAATTTGGCAACGAAGTCTATTTTTTAGTCCTCTACAAAAAAAACCACTTGAGATCGTAATTCATTTCCTCCATAGTATACTACTAATAAACGACTAAAGATTCTTTTAATATACATACCCTCTATATATGGCCAAGAATAAATCCACGGCGGCCAAAGTATTAGGCTTATCAGCCATGCAAATGATATCATTATTGCTGCCTTGCGATTCGTTCTTTTCGCTCGATAAGTTAATGGACGCGTTACAGAAAAATAGCGATCAAACGAAATGATAAGAAGATTAAGGACAGAGGCATTTGATGCTAAATAATCTAATGACAGCCATGTATCGCAAACAAAAGAACCAAATGGCCAATATCCTGCAATTGTTTGCACCGTAAATAGGGGCATTGATACAAGTCCAATTGCCAAATCGGCTATTGCCAATGAGAACAAGAAATAATTTGAAATTGTCTGGAGTTGTTTATCAATTTTGAATGATATCATCACCTGATTTAAATAAAAATTAGGTAAAAAAATTAATCCAAAAATAAGATTAGTCAGTTAAAGCAAGGGGAAAGAACAATGCAGGAAAATTTCACAGTTCAGGTATGGTAGTTTTTTTTTTGGAAAGCCCGAACCCTCTTTTCTTGGTTATAAGCTTAGTCAAAGTAAAAGTAATTGTTTGGAAGAAACAAATGGTTATTAAAGGGAAAAACCTAGTTAAATATCAAAAAAAACTTTATTTTTTTTTAAATTTTATTAGTTAAACTAGGTTTATATGACTCGAAATATTTACAAATATCTAGTTTCGATGCATTCTATCAATAATTACACAATAAAAATGTTTTGGAACCTGATTTAACAGGATTTAAGTAGAGGCAATCAAAAAGTTTAAAAGTTCGAAATCCTTTCCTAAGGCTTAGTATCGGGTTTATACAGAGGCTCATACAGAGAAAAGAGGGGACAGTTTTAACCCCCTGATTATTAGATTTAATATAATTATTTTATTTTAAAAAGCAAAACATACCATTAAGTTACCGATGACAGTAAGTAATGACAATATGATGAATACAATAGCAATGATAATTTTCTGTGTGAGATTATATGGTGATGACGGTTTTTCATCAAATGTGGAATGCGTTGTTGTAATATTAATGCCATATTGTGTGACATTTTGTAAATTTTCTAAACTCAGAAATGCTGTTGTATGTGTAAAAATACTGAAGTTTATGCTACTTAATGTTGTTGTGTAGTAATTCATTTCCAAGTAAGCATAAGTAATAAGGAAATTTCTTCTGTTGTCGCTGCTACTCTTTAACTTTCTTTTTTTCAAAAATCAAGTAAATAATATTATTTTTTTATATGTTTTGTACAATTATTACTAATATTATATAAAATATTCTTTTAACTATTTTTTTAAATTACTTTTTATAACTCCACTCTATCAGATGTTTTCGGAGATTTCTTTTTCTATATTTTGTAATCAATCACAAGTAATATTTTATCCTTTCAAATTTTGAATTTTAAACAATTTTTTCGCCATAAAGTTACAAATTCACTACAATTCTTTTGCAAACACTTTTAATTTAACTCATTTTTTTATTGAGAAAAGTTGATTAAAAGAATCTTTGATATTTGAGTTTTTTTTATTTTTGTTTTGAATAACTAGATGTTGATAAAATCTATAATATCTAAAAGTTTATAAGTACAAATGTAAAACTCTTCTTTGTACTTTACGGATATCAACTAAAACACCCGTTTTTAACTCCTTTTTCTAATGTCGGCTCTTTTTTTTCGTTTTATTCCTTGCGATGTCGCTATTTTTCTTTTTTCATTCAACATTAACTACTTTTTTACGTACATTTTCTTTTACCATGCTTTTTTTTTTTAACTTTTTTGCTTTATAAAATATCATCCTTTAATATTGTTGAAACTTTTCTTGAATGAAAATACAGACATTAACGTTTTAATCAAATTTTCTTTCACTGGATTTGTTGGTATTTATTATGTAATTTTGTTTTAATTAGTTCTAATTATTACTAACACTTCACAAACATTAATGGACATTTCAAAAACGATGAAAAAATCCCATTGTTCCTTTTATAATTTTTTAAACATTCTTTTGATTTTTATGCATTTCAAACAAAAGCTCATAAAGTTTTTTTTTTTAAAAAAATATTTAATAAATGTATTTTTTTTATATTTTTAAATTATTATTGTAATAGCTTAGCACAAATTTTATTTACCGAAAAATTTGATTAATGCTTAAAACAATGTTACACAATCATTATTTTAATTTTTTTATTTTTTTTTTGATTAAAAAAAAGTTTATTACAGTTGGAATGAGAACAATGGATACGTATTAAACCAACATACATGTACATACATAACTTCATATATATATTATATATATATATATATATATATATATATTGGTTTTTACATGAATTTATTATTTTTATGCACTTCTTTTCTTTTAAATTAATTTAAATAGCACAGCTAAAGCAGCTTGATCATCCACACATAATTCGTTTTTAAAATTTTCGGTAAGTTCTTCGTCAAAATTTTTTTTAATTTGAATTTCATGAAAAGTTGATAGTAAAATAAATTATTATGCTCAAGAAAATTTTTCTTTCAAGACCATTTTTTGATTTTTTTTTTAACTATAAAATTGCATTCTTTTATTAATATATTTGCTATGTAACAATCGCAAATCAGTTTTTTATTATTCAATAACTAATAACTAATAATATATGTATAATTTCTACATCTTTTGTATTCTATTTAATGCTAGTTTAATATGAAATATTTTCAAAGTAGTCCTCACTGACAATACACACTCTAGATAAATTTTCACACGAGAAGAGGAAGAAAAAAGAAATTTCCTTTTTTGATTTTTGTTGGAAAATCTGTCCGGGATCGGAGAGAAAACAGAATCACGATGAGATGATTTTACTTTTATGTAGACTGAATATGATGAGTACTGGAAAAATTCTCTCTTGTCGTTTCTCTTCCATTTCTATCTTTTCTAATCGTTCTTAGGTTGTCTTGCTTCGAAACTTTTACATAATAAAATAACAAAAGTTTTTAAAACGAAATGCACTTAAACAACGCTCATGTAATTATAAAATTTAATTAAATTGATTGCATGTCGGAAATTCAAACCAATCTAATCTATATCAGAGATCATGAATCATAAAAAGATATATTCTGTAATTATAGTACATGAATCACAAAACGAATTTTGCAAATAAAAAAAAAGGTTCTTAGAATTTCCATTAATATTACAAAAACTGTTCATGACATATTAGCAAGGTGTGTCTGCGTATGCGCTACTGTATATCCTTCTCTTACTTCCATAATTTCTCTTTTTTGCTCCAGCATATATTCCTTCTTGTTTAATTGACTTTTTTTGAAATTAAATTCTTTGTTTTAAGACCTAAAATTTAATAATCATCCAATCATCAGTATTATTTAAAATCCCTGAAAAGTGAATTTTATCTAACCAGTTAAATATTTTTAAATAGTATCCCGAACATACAATGAGTATACTCAGAGCACATTATTTGTGAGCTTGCAAACTTTTTTGAGAATGTGCTCATTTCATACATTAAAGTGATGCGATCACGGTACCTCCTATGTGACATGCATTAAGCTCACTGAGTAAACTCATGAGTATACTCAAATGAGAAGGCAACATGCCACACGCAACATTTTTTTAATGCAACATTTTTTATTAAATATACTTATGAACATTCTCAAAGAGCATATACTCATAAACATACTCAAAGAGCTTATACTCATGAAGATACTCAAAAGATATATGCTCAGTGAGTTTATTTATGAGTATATGCTCATCTGAGCACATTCATGAGTGCAATCAGTTAAAGTCACAAAATTCAAAAAAATTAATTAATTTAAATTTGAGTTTTATAAGGATAATTCTGTGAATAATTTTGGAAGAGTTAGAATTTATTATTAACATTTTATCTCAAATACTTAAGAAGGAAGTTTTAAAAACCGGTCACCCATCCTTGTAGAAAAACCTATTGCGTTGCTTAACTTCTGTCACCTCACACTTTTCCTTGGAGCAATTTTCTGTAAAAATATAATAATTTTCATATGGCAAAACACATACTTAAATTATTATATTAATACAGGCAAACTAAGTTCTTTGAAGTTTGATACGCTGCTTAATTGAACTATATTTTTATGAAATATTTGAGTTGATCAGAGCACGATCGTGAGAACATATTATGAAAAATGTCGACCAACTTAGAATTAAACTTAGAATACATTTTTATGTAAGTCGACATTTTCAAAAATGTCGACCAACTTAAAATCGAACAAAGAATACATTTTTATGCAAGTTTTATGCAATTTTTTGAAAAATGTCGACCAACTTAAAATTAAACTTAGAATACGTTTTTATGCTGGTCGACATTTTTTGAAAATATTTTATGGATTCAAATTTTAGTTCCATGAAAGCCAAAAAATTTTGATCGTGTTTAATTCTTATAGTTTTTTAAAAGCAAAGTAATTTTTAATTTAATTCCTTGAGAAACTCTTGACATTTATTTCAGAAAACTTAAAATTGTAAAAAGTTTCGTACATTTTTGTATTAGGGCGATTCTCCAGGATGGTGGAATTTTGAAAAATAAGCTTTTTTAATCCAAGGTTATTTGTGTTCGGATGATAAAAATCTTTTGGTTAATATCTTTTTAATACATTTGAGTTTAAATATCAAAACAGTCTCAAATCATCAAAAATAATTATTCTATTAAGTTTAATTAATAGATTTACATAAAAATCAAAGATAAGAGCAGTATTTTAATTTTTTTGATTCGTTTTTCTGGTAATTTTTTTACGGATCGGTAAAATAAAAGCTTAAAGATGCTCCGTGACATAAAGTTGACGTTCGGAGAATCGATTATTCTCTTCAATTAAGCTGCTTTCCTTAGATGTAAAGCATAAGTATTATAGAACTGATAATACTCTACCATTTGATTTGCATTTCATGATGCAAACATAAGAATTTAATGGATAAATATTGATTCCCCTATTGAATTTTTTGTAAAATTCCATTTTCGGTCACGGAGCATTTTATCGAAGAATCAAAATATCTCTAGAATTAAGCTAATTAATGGCTGTTACAATAAGTCAACAGATAGATAATGGAAAAATACATCAGAAGAGCTGAAAACCTAACATCTTTTAGTAGAAAAATCGGTCAAAAAAACAATTTTAAGTTGAAAATTTTTGATTTCCCCTATAGAGAATCGCCCATTACATATCTAAAATATTCAACATTTGCTTTTAAGTTGGTTGACAATTTTTTAAAAATAACATATTAAAAAATGTCGACTATCATTAAAATATATTCTAAGTTAGATTTTAAGTTGGTTGACATTTTTTAAAATGTCGACTATCATAAAAATATATTCTAAGTTAGATTTTAAGTTGGTCGACATTTTTGAAAATGTCGACTTACATAAAAATGTATTCTAAGTTCGATTTTAAGTTGGTCGACATTTTTGAAAATGTCGACTTACATAAAAATGTATTCTAAGTTTGATTTTAAGTTGGTCGACATTTTTGAAAATTCACATAAGGGCGATTCCATGAGTGAATTTTTTTTTCTCAACTCAATTTTTTGTAAATATTTCCTTAATTAACTTCATTTAACGCCATATTTAAGATTTATTTTATTTATTATTATGGTATTTATGTATTTTAGTGCATAATCTTTTAGTTAAATCTGTCTGACAAAAGATATTTTAAAAAAACCCATGCTACGGACATTTCAGTGTCGAATTTTTTCGACATGTTTAAATTTAGTCGACCTAGCGTTTGAATATTTTAAAACCGTTAAAAATCTGTCAATTTTAAGATTTTAAGCATTAATATTTAAATTCCTGTATTTTTCTGGGATGATTTTAGCTAAACTTAGATAAACACGAAGCTGAGAATAAGAATCGTTTGCCCAAGCCTTGTTTTTGCCAGTGATTGCAAGAAATTTTCATGAAAATTTAACGGTTTTTTGACATTCAAAGCAAAAAATAACGGACTTTTCGACGTGTCCGTAGCATGAAAAAACCAGAGGTCGAAGCCGACATGAGTTCGCTCCGGTTCGCTAAAAAACCGATCCGATAACCGGTAAATTTGTATAGAATGTTATGCTTCACAAGTGACAGCAGAAAAAATTCTATTCAAATTTGAATCGGTTTTTTAGCGAACCGGAGCGAACTCATGTCGGCTTCGACCTCTGGAAAAAACCAAACTTAATCGGTCAACTTTACAGAAAATTGATTTTTAAATTTTTATCAATATTTCTTTGAATATCCATTGTTGTGTTACAAATCTATGATAAACACACGTGAAATCGCCTGTGCTTTATAACAATATCTTATTTGTATTTCTTACTACTGTAATTAAGGAGAAAATTGGGGAAAACACCACTTAATCGGTCAACTTTCAACCGATTATTGCAAAACATATTACATATTTTTGTCAAAATGCAGCATAATTAAGACGATTAAATGCTAATAATACATGAATTGATGAATAATAAGTCTTATTTAGTGAAAAGATATGTTGAAATATGTATATTTAAGCAGAAAAAGCTAAAAAAGTTTTTGAACCAAAAATTTTCAGTTCCATTTACCCATGGAATCGCCCATAAGTATGTTCTTAATATTCTCATGAGTATGTTCAGTAAGTGCACTCATATGAGAACGTAAAAAAATTATGTCACACAGAAGTGAGTATGTTCTTAATATTCTCATGAGAATGTTCAGTAAGTGCACTCATACGAGTGCATTCACATAAGTATGTTCTTAATATTCTCATGAGTATGTTCAGTAAGTGCACTCATATGAGAACGTAAAAAAATTATGTCACACAGAAGTGAGTATGTTCTTAATATTCTCATGAGAATGTTCAGTAAGTGCACTCATACGAGTGCATTCACATAAGTATGTTCTTAATATTCTCATGAGTATGTTCAGTTAGTGCACTCATATGAGAACGTAAAAAAATTATGTCACACAGAAGTGAGTATGTTCTTAATATTCTCATGAGAATGTTCAGTAAGTGCACTCATACGAGTGCATTCACATAAGTATGTTCTTAATATTCTCATGAGTATGTTCAGTAAGTGCACTCATATGAGAACGTAAAAAAATTATGTCACACAGAAGTGAGTATTTTCTTAATATTCTCATGAGAATGTTCAGTAAGTGCACTCATAGAGTGCATTCACATAAGTATGTTCTTAATATTCTCATGAGTACACTCGTTGAATGTACTCACGTGAGCTTATAAATTTTTTGCAAAAAAATAAAGTGAGTACATTCGTAATGAACTCCTGAGCATGCTCAGTTGAATGAGCTTACATGAGTACATTTTTTGAGTAGACTCACTTATATGCTCACTTTTCTGAGCATGCTCTTTGTATGTTCGGATATTAATCTATAATTATTGCATTTCCTTGCAAAGAAGGAAATAAAATCAGATCACCTTCAATTTATTTCACATTAAAACAAACGTAAACTGTTCTTTTTAATTCAGGAAAGTGCTTTTAAAAAGCTAAAGATTTTAAGGGCTTAATTTACCTGAAAAATTAATAAAAAGTCCACAGTTAATCATTGTTTCAATTTTATTTTGAATTATATTACTTTTATTTTACAAACTATTTCAACTTTCCATTTGGTTATTGAATTTACATATAATTAAATTCATATGATTTTACTTAAATCCATTTTCTAATCGTTCTAAATGAACGTTGAATGTTGAATGAATGTTGAATGTACTCACGTGAGCTTATAAATTTTTTGCAAAAAAATAAAGTGAGTACATTCGTAATGAACTCCTGAGCATCCTCAGTTGAATGAGCTTACATGAGTACATTTTTTGAGTAGACTCACTTATATGCTCACTTTTCTGAGCATGCTCTTTGTATGTTCGGATATTAATCTATAATTATTGCATTTCCTTGCAAAGAAGGAAATAAAATCAGATCACCTTCAATTTATGTCACATTAAAACAAACGTAAACTGTTCTTTTTAATTCAGGAAAGTGCTTTTAAAAAGCTAAAGATTTTAAGCAGAGGTCGAAGCCGACATGAGTTCGCTCCGGTTCGCTAAAAAACCGATTCAAATTTGAATAGAATTTTTTCTGCTGTCACTTGTGAAGCATAACATTCTATACAAATTTACCGGTTATCGGATCGGTTTTTTAGCGAACCGGAGCGAACTCATGTCGGCTTCGACCTCTGATTTTAAGGGCTTAATTTACCTGAAAATTAATAAAAAGTCCACAGTTAATCATTGTTTCAATTTTATTTTGAATTATATTACTTTTATTTTACAAACTATTTCAACTTTCCATTTGGTTATTGAATTTACATATAATTAAATTCATATGATTTTACTTAAATCCATTTTCTAATCGTTCTAAATGAACGTTGAATGTTGAATGAATGTTGAATGTACTCACGTGAGCTTATAAATTTTTTGCAAAAAAATAAAGTGAGTACATTCGTAATGAACTCCTGAGCATCCTCAGTTGAATGAGCTTACATGAGTACATTTTTTGAGTAGACTCACTTATATGCTCACTTTTCTGAGCATGCTCTTTGTATGTTCGGATATTAATCTATAATTATTGCATTTCCTTGCAAAGAAGGAAATAAAATCAGATCACCTTCAATTTATGTCACATTAAAACAAACGTAAACTGTTCTTTTTAATTCAGGAAAGTGCTTTTAAAAAGCTAAAGATTTTAAGCAGAGGTCGAAGCCGACATGAGTTCGCTCCGGTTCGCTAAAAAACCGATTCAAATTTGAATAGAATTTTTTCTGCTGTCACTTGTGAAGCATAACATTCTATACAAATTTACCGGTTATCGGATCGGTTTTTTAGCGAACCGGAGCGAACTCATGTCGGCTTCGACCTCTGATTTTAAGGGCTTAATTTACCTGAAAATTAATAAAAAGTCCACAGTTAATCATTGTTTCAATTTTATTTTGAATTATATTACTTTTATTTTACAAACTATTTCAACTTTCCATTTGGTTATTGAATTTACATATAATTAAATTCATATGATTTTACTTAAATCCATTTTCTAATCGTTCTAAATAAGATTTTCTGCATAACATTTCATCTACTGGTCGATTATGTGGTTTCCATTTGGGCTCTCCGACAAAAAATCTATTGACTTTAATGTAATTCTGAAATTTTTATGCATAAAATGTTTTATTATTACAAAGCTTACAAATCTGTTTTTTGATCATTGAAATGTTTAAATATTTGTCAGACTAATTATAACAACTAGTCAAACTATTTAGATAGTTTTTTTTTTCTTTTAAAAAAATGTAGTCACATGATTCTTACTTGAGTATCCAAAGTAAAACGATGATATATCCCAGCTGGAATTATAATAAGGTCAAAAGCTTCTACTTCAATTCTTATCCATTCGTCTTTAATGCTTAAATAATGAAGTAAATCAATGAATATTTAGAAAATTATAACAACTTATTTGGATTTACTCTCTAACATCAAAATATCCACTACCCTCCAGAACATAACGAATTTCTTCGTCTGTATGCAAATGCTCTTCATAAAAGCTTTTTAATTTGTTTTCGTAATCAGCAAGACATTCTTTTGAGCAAATGATCTTTGTCAGTAAGAAAAATTAGTATAGTTTTGTATTTATTTCAATACCAAAGTTTTTTCAGTATCAATTATTACCTCGTCTTCATATGAGTATCCTCTATTTTTCTTCATTTTTTCTAACTGATCCTGCATTTTTGAACTCTTGAAATCAAACTTGAACAAAAATAATATTTTAAATTTGATGATATTTCAAGTTGGGCGAAAATTTTAAAAGTTTGACAAAAATTCAGCTTATATGCTTATATTATAGGTATTGGGCCCTAATAAACGTAAAAAATAATATTTTACCCCAAAAGTGCCAGTATGCTAGAGCCCAATGCCTATAATATAAGCATATAAGTTGAATTTTTGGCAAACTTTTCACATTTTCGCCTAGCGTTTATTAGTTTAGTTTGAAAAGCATATAGTAAAGAATATAGTATAAGAATGTAATTCGACAAAAAGTAATTTTAATATATGAAACAATAATGTTAGATATTTTTTTTATATTTCATCATTCGTCTACAGCAACATTTTTTTTTTATTTATTTACATACCTTAAAATATTGCACTCCGCTTATTTCAAATAATTTTTCTAAATCAATAAAAACAGGTGGATTGCGATGATGCTCTAATCTTTGATCAGTTTGTTGATCATCATCCATATACCATGCGCGTACCATGACTCTTATTGAAATTGTAAAATTTAAAAAATTATATTTTATAGAAGAAAGAACAAATTAATAAGTCGAATGCTCTCAAGATAATGAACTTTAATTCTATTCTTTTAAATTTTTGTAGTATGAGTAGAAGAGGGGCAAATCCACGAAGCTGAGGAATTACAAAAAATCGCACTGTAATTATTCCTCTACTTGCTTAAATTTTTTTTGAAAAATAGAAAACCGTTATTATTTCTTTATCTTTTTATTGAAAATAATCTTAAAAATTAATTTAAAGCACAGTTAATATTATTTAAAAGCCATTAAAGGCATCGGAAACATCTATTTAATTAAAATTTAATTAATTATCGAAAATTGAATAAGATTTGAGCTCGAAAATGTCAACAAATTTTAACGGAAATTTGTAATTCAAATATTTTAACGGTTATGAAAAATTTGAACTAGCATATTCTTATGTCAAAGCGTTTTGTGTGACTCAGGAAGAAAATTTTCAAGAAGTTAATTAATTTATCAGCAAATTTCCATTAAGCATCTACATTTTGCTGAATTATCTAATGCTACAACATGAAAGGAACAGATCTTGTTGATCAATGTCGCTTAAAAACTTATATTTTTTGAGATAATTGAATTTTTCGATGTTTGCCGCTAAAATGTGACTCAGGAAGATTTACAAAAAGTCAAATTTCTCTTTAATTAACGATTATAGAGAAGCAAATTTTTTTTATGGTCTTCTATTCACATTATTGCATTTATTAAAACATTCAATCTTTTTGAATAATGTGACATAAGAGAGAAATAATTACTTTAAATTGAAAAATTTTGTAAAAAAAAAGTTTTTGTTTCGTGGATTTGCCCAGAGAATAGAAAGTGCAGAGATGTATTGAGGGACTAAATAGGTTAGAGTTGAGTTTTTAAATTGGTTTATTTATTTCATAATGTTTTCATTAAATTATTAATTCGTAATTGTAAAAATTAATCCTGTTTAGTTGCCACTAAACGTATTTGCTTCTTTTTTGGCTCTTTATAGTCTCTCTCATCATAATTATTTTCTGTCCTTTCCGTTTGTACATTTGAAAAATCTTTCTTTGATGACATACCATAATTAAGTCGTGAACATTTCAGATTCTCAATTATCTCCCAATTCTTTTCAATTATGAAGAAACTATGCCGTTCACCTTTGATTCTTTGATCTGTCAAAACATCTATATTTTCGTTCTCATCATCGTGCTAAATCATGTAAATAAAGGAAATTTTTGTTGGATTTTTTAGTGCTTACAAAAATACTTGAAATACCTGTTCTTGCTGGATTCTGGTTTTGTTCATGAATTTCATCATTAAAACAGTCTTCGATAACTTCCTTTTATTGTTACTCATTTTGAGTCCTTTCTTAAAACTATGTGATAAAAATTAATTAAATTCCTTGTACTGCGAAGTTTACATGTAAAATGTAAATAAATATAAAACATGTCCATGAGAAAATTAAAAACAACAAAAGAATTATAAAAATTATTAAATTATTGAATGTGTTTTTAAACCCATAAATATCAGCTAAAATATCATGAAAAAGCTGGTATTTAAAATTTCACCCAATATCAAAATATTATTCATGATTAAAAACAAAAGAATATATTTTAATCCTTGTTACTGATGTGTCACTAAGTCTGTGCTAGAAGTCTAGTTTTAGGATTCCGAAATTCGAGCTGATCATTTGCTATTAATCTTATTTTAAATTATGAAACTATAATTCGGATTTAAGTTTGCTATTAAAACAATGGAACTTTTTAAATTTTTTGATTTAATGATTTTTTTTTATAAAATTCAGTTTTAAATTTGAAATTATAATATTCATTGGACTTGCATCACAAGTAATATTTCTCCGAAAACAATTTTTGAAAAAGTGAGCTACTTCTCACAAATACAAACAACCGAAAAGTTTTCATTGCTTCATATGTTTGGAAATATTTTATGATGATAAAACTTTGAAAATAGTTTATTTTCATATTTAATCAACAGAAATAATAACTCAATCACTTGAGATATTAAATTCCTAATTTTTCCATAAGTATATTTAAAAAAAAAATTATTTCAAGCATCCATGATACTTTATAAAAATTTTCCGAAAAAAACCGTGTAGGAACAGAGAGTGGAGAAAAACGTTTTAGTGCGAGAAGTGACTCCGAACGGTTAACAATGAAAATTTTTTGCCTCGTAGCTATCAAATAAAGGTGTAGTGAGGAATCGGGATGAAAAGAAAAATAATGAATAAAATTGAATTATAAGCATGATCTAGCCAAAGTTCTTTAATAAAATATTTCAATTATAAAATAATCACGTAAAAAGCTACTTAAAAGTCAAAAAGAAAAATTATATATAAGAATAATGTGTGTTGAATAATTTCGCATAAAAAAGTCAGAAAGAAAAATAGGAGCGAAGTGAAAAAAGCACTTTTAAATATATCTGGAAAAACTTGCTAGTTCGAGGAAGCAGAAGAGGATATATATAAAAATATATGTTAGCATAAAAAAATGTAAGGATATAAAAAGGCCAACAAAATATTTGTTCTTGTGATGCAAAAAATGGGAGAAAAAAGAAAAAAATAAAATTGGTGAAAATCAAAAAATGATAATAAAATTAAAAAGGATTAAATTTTTCATTGTATGGTAGGGTATGGTAACTCCATATATTACGAAAAAAATGTATAAATCGAGTGGCTCCATAAATGTTGAATACCATTAATAAATTAAACAAGAAAAAAATTCCATTTATGCCTGAAAATATTGTGAGAAAAAATTTCAAACGAACTTAAAAATGAGTTTTCTTCTATGTGAATAGAAAGTGATTTTGCTAAAAGTGTCGACACACAGTTAAATTGTAGATTGAAAACGAAGAATCCTTCGTGCCATACGATATATGTATCGTGAAATGTTTTTACAATTTTTTTTTTCTTTTCTTTTTTATAAAATTGTACAATCTATCGACCAAAAAATGTATGTATACATAAAAAATTAAAAAATAAAAATCCGTCGCCGTAAATCCGAACTTGACGAGAAAACCGCGTAGTGCTGATGAGAAAAGTTTCGCTATTTTTAAAATTTGTCTTTAATTGTATTTATTTTATGTTTTTGGTTTCCATCAATTCTTTTTAATTTAGCATATGTGTAATTTAAAATATAAAACAAATCGTATCGCTTACTCATGATTCTACTTATAGAGTCTATAGTAAAACGATTGACATTCTCTTGCTTTTTTCCTTTCTGTGTCACTTTTTGAAAATAACATACACGAGACTATATAATATCTTTATATAGTCTGTCTCACTGACGCGAAAATTTTCTTTTGCATTAATGAATGTTCATACATCAGAATCTATTCTGATGATTAGTTTTGTAGTAATGAACTTAATGTCAAGAACCCGAGTAGCACCAACAACAACAACTGGTTTTACGTCGACGTCAAGGCACCATCAAGTAGAAAAAAGCACGTCACGCCGCAAATTTACCGTTGTGGCAACGCTAAGGCATCTACACGCACGATTTCGCACCATTTGAACAATGAACTAATGGGGCGAAATCGTGCGTGAAGAAGCCTTAGCGTTGCCACAACGGTAAATTTGCGGCGTGACGTGCTTTTTTCTACTTGATGGTGCCTTGACGTCGACGTAAAACCAGTTGTTGTTGTTGGTGCTCTACTCGGGGAAGGATGTATTTTGTCTGTCTTTTAAAAAAAGGTTCACGAAAAAAATTTGTTTACAAATTCACACCGAAAACATTTTTTAAATTTTCCACCTTTTTAATGATTTATGAATGTCCAGATCACTTTTGATAGCTAAGCAATACATAGTTTTTGTTATATAAAGTAACAAATTAATAGAAAACTGGTTTAGAAGACTTTAAAATACAATCATAATTTGTGGAAATTTTCAAAATTAAATCAATCATAAGTTTAAAAGTAAATCTGTCATTCATATGATGATTAATATGATCCCATCATTGTGATATTTTCATTCAAAGTTGATTGAATTTTCCAAAATTTTATCGGGCATAAATTTTTGCTTTATATCTCAATCCAATAAATCAAAACATGACCTATTTAGCTTTACAGTATTTTGATGTTTAAGAAAAAAATACAAAAGAAATTTAACCGTCTTTTTAGAATAAAAAATAATCAAAATAAAATAAATTATGAACGTTCAGGGGGGGGGGGGGGGGGGGTTGTGAGTTGTAACATATTGTAACAAGGGGGGGAGGGGTTGAGGGGTTGAGGGGATGAAAAAAGATTTTTTGCGTAACGTAATAAGTGAACAGCCCCTGTTTATATAAATTTATTTTTTTATCTCTTATTTAAAATTTTTCTACAATCGATTGTATTTACATTGCTATAATTGTCAATGCTTAAATTAGCAATTTAATTTTTAAAGTACTGTCACAATATTAAATTTTCACTTATGAATGAAATAATTTTTTGTGAGCAAAAACATGAAAACTCACTGAAAATGGACTATTAATGAATGGCCAGTTTTATCCTTTTGAGATTCCTTTTTCAATAGTAAAATGATTATTTTTTTAGTAAATTTTATGAATTAATAGCATTTGAGGATTAATACAAGTACTCTGGGTAAAACACAAGTACTTGGGTTATCCTTTCAATAAAAACCCAAATACTGAAGTTCTTGGGACTTGTACTTGACACCCCTAGTCGTATGTCAAAATATAGGGATTTTTCTTACTACCAGAGAAAATAACTTTGGAATGTACCACTATTAAGGTTTCGGATCGATTAATATTTTTTCGTCGGGGCCCATATTATATCAAATGAAAAAAACAGTAAAAAGGACCAAAAAAATAATAATTTTTTAAAAAAAAACTTTTGCACAGTTAAAAACTAATTGAAAAGATAAATAACTTAACTCCAATAGGTTTTCATTCATTGAAATTTAACAAAAATGAATCGTTCCATTGCAAACAATTCGTTTTAAGCACTCAACATAGAGTACAATGGTTTATACATAATGACATTTTTTCATCATCATCATCCTCAATGTTTCATTTTTCTATATATTTTTTGTTTTTACTCTAAATTCTTTATCGTCTTTTCTACATAAAAAAGCGGCAACATATGTAAACAGAAACTCTTTCAGTTGGTATATTTTCCATCTTTCAGTTGAATATGCTATTTCTTCTTTCCTTTCTTTTAACAGATGGATCCTTTAACATTTGTTCTGACTTTAGCAAGATATATTTTTAATGACATTAAAAAATTAAGAACCAGATAATATGAAATGTTAAAATTCCATTAAGAACATAATTTACATTAACACTTGATTTTGGGATTCATCCGATAGCTTTTGTTGACATTTTGGTACTAAAAAATGTAGGGCCGCATCAAAAATGAATTCTACGTCATCGGAGACCACTTTTTCTTATTTTTCATTAATTTTCTCCATTAAAGCATTTTATATTTTTAAATAGTCTTATAGAACTCGCCGAGACAAAGATTTTAATAACAAATTTAAGTATGTACAATGTCTAGTTCCTTCTGTTTCAAAAATGCGCTAAAAATGCAATTTCGACATTTTGCTCTAGAATCATTCAACTTATCTAGATATTGACACTGAGACGAGTCCCTATTAAAATAACGAATTTCAGAAATTCGAAACTTCATTTTTACGAACACTTCATTTTTACGACCATATCATTTTTACGAAAAATTATTTTTTCGACTTTTTTATAAATTTCAAATTCTAAAATGTCGTTAATTTCATCACGTGTTCTCTTCAATAATAAATCTGCAAAAAAGATTAATAGAACAAATGTTTTTAAATGTATGGAATTAAAACGTATTTTTTATTCAATATCACATTTCATGGTCTATGTGTATGTTTAAAGGAGTAACAAACACAATTCAGCTCTTTTATCATTTTTGACTACTGCAATAGCCTTTAATGTTTCAACTCGTGGCACGGATTTTCGACGGTTCAGGATTGATTTAATGGATTCTCTGTCTTTTCAAAACCTGGTATTCTATGCTTTTGTGGCTTTCCAGCCTTTGAAAAGACAGAGAATTCCATTAAATCAATCCTGAACCGTCGAAAATCCGTGCCACGAGTTGAAAGTTTGTTACTCCTTTAAACATACATGTAGTCCATGAAATGTGATATTGAATAAAAAATACGTTTTAATTCCATACATTTAAAAACATTTGTTCTAATAATCTTTTTTTGCAGATTTATTATTGAAGAGAACACGTGATGAAATTAACGACATTTTAGAATTTGAAATTTATAAAAAAAGTCGAAAAAATAATTTTTCGTAAAAATGATATGGTCGTAAAAATGTGAGTTCGTAAAAATGAAGTTTCGAAATTTTAAAATTCGTTATTTTAATAGGCACTCCACTGAGACCTAGGGTTTAGGAAACCTGTTAACAGAAAAACAGGTCTCAAAAACAGATCTGCTTTCTGTTTCTCATTTTTGCATATAATTTACGAAAAAAAAAATATTTATTTTTTTTGAAATATCAAATATTTTTTTCTTGAGTTTTAAATAATAAGTTTAAAAAAAATTATCTAATTTTATAAATAATCATCATTAGTTTTGCAATCGAACTTTTAAAAATGTAATTAAAAAAATTACAGAAGTCCTCGGGTTATTGATCGAGGGACTTAAGCCCATTTTTGTGATGGCGATCAGTATTTGACAAGCATCAAAATGCAAATCAATAAGCAAACAGCTCTAAAATTTTGCCTTTATCAAAGCATATAAGTTGCATTTTAAAAAATATTAAACATTAGGTACAGCAAAAAGTTTTTTGTTCTTTAACAGTTTTTATACATTTGAAATTATTCCACAACAAAAAAGACCCTGGAATTCAACAGAATTTGTCATTTAACCATTTTCTTGGATTCAAAAGAATTTTTCATTCAGCGGTTTTTTTAGATTCAAATTTTTTAACGGTAGAAATAAATTTGAATTTCTGAACATCCATTGAACAATTTTTAAAGCGGTAGAAAAAAATTCAATTTTTTAAACGTACTTGTCACGTGGATTTGTTTATGAAATAAAAAATCATGAATTTCCGTTAAATTTATTTATTGCTAAGAATAATTTCTCTTCGAAAAATAACATTTTATTGGGTTAATAATGAATTTAATTTGTTTTTTTTTTTCATGTTAATACCTATCATAATTTTGTGTAATAATTGTAATAATAATCAAGGCAATGAAAGCTAGTTTGAATCTTTTGAAAATTTGTAACGGTAAAAAAAAATTCAAATTACTACAAGTAGAAAAATATCACAACTTGCTTTTTCTTAGTTCCCTTTACTCGTGGAATTGCCCCAGGGGCAAATCCGCAGACAATAAAAAGCTCCAAATTTTTGTTTTTCTCAAATTTCTCTTCTATTTGGCTATTTAAGTGATATTTTAATACCAAAACATGCGTATTTCCGACAAATGTACAACTTTCGATAACTTTGGCATGAAATAAATCATTAATTAAAGAGATATTTTAATTTTTCTGGCGTCAATCTCTCCTGCAATCGAAATTTATTTTCAAAAACAAGCAAAAATTTTCTTAACTATAAATCTAGACAGCACCAGACTTGTTTTATAGCATTTCAAATTTAATTTTCTATAACATTCTTTTATCGGGTGTTAAAAAAAGTCACTTAATTAAGAGAAATTAAAGAAAAAAGCGTCAATCTCTCTTCTTCAAGAACACTTTGTTGCAAAACATCAGTTTGGAGTATTTTTTCGTAACACACGATAAGTTTTGAAAAGTTATAAAACATTAACATCATAATCATTTGAAATATCTAAATTATGCAGTGAATTACAGCTTGAATAAAGCTTTATTAACGAGAACACACTAATTAATTGCTTAATTAATTGAAAAAGTAAAGAATTGATAAAATAATGTTTATTTTTGTTCAAAAATTGTAACGAGTTTTTATTTTTCAAACTTTTCCAAGTACAGAAATATTACAACTCGCTTTTTGCCAGTTTCATAATTTTGCGGATTTGTCTATAGACATATTATATATCGTTGGAATTGAAATTTAAAAAGCTATTTAATTATGCTATTTTTGAACCGGTTCAATCGGTTTGCTTTTTAGCTCGTTTTGTAGCCTTTAAAAATACTCACAACTTGTTGGAGCTAGATTTTTGATTATCGACCTGTGACGCCATTTTTAGCCATTTATTTAAAGAACACTAGTCAAACTACTTCTTTACTTTGACAGCTTATTTTTCAGCAACTACATATGATACAATAACGATATATATCTTAAAAATTTCCAATTTTCCTATGAATTAATGATTACATTAATTATTAGTGGGATTTGTGAATAAGTTTTGTCAAATGATAAAACTTTAAAACATTAAAACGTTTTGAACACTATTTTCCCTTTATTTGATATTTATCTATTTAAAAGAGCTTTTAATTTCATTTAAAATGATGTATAACATTCTTAGGGTTTATCAGTAAATGACGTTGAAAAATTTTTAATGATTTTTGTACCTATTTTTTTTTTAGTTTTAGTCTTCTATTCCATTTTCTTCTATTTTTTCACATTTTCCATCGTCACAGGTTGATAATCAAAAATCTACAAGTTGTGAGCATTTTTAAAGGCTACGAAACGAGCTAAAAAGCAAAGCCTTTGATTAAGTATTGAAAAAGTTATGGGCGATTCTACGAATGATATTTTCTACAAATTTGTCTCCAAATCTATATTTCTCTTTATGGGCGATTCTACGAATGATATTTTCTACAAATTTGTCTCCAAATCTATATTTCTCTTTATCAGTTGCATTACTCCCCATGTTTCATGTATTTAATAGTAGATTTTACCGAGATCTACATATTGTTCTCACCCAAACATATTAAAAAATGGTTAATTAAAGAATTATTTACATTCTACGAAAAATTACTCTGTTTCACATGAATTTTTTCGCCCAAATTTCCAAAATGTTTTCATTAATATCTTTAAGGTGGTAAAATTTCCAGTAATACTAAGTATACAAAGTTATAGCTTAAAGTAAAAGCTTCAAAACGATGTCAAAATCATATTTGTGGACGCCTTAATTAAGCTGCAATTTGGATTCTACGAAAAATTTCATAAGTGAAACAGAGTAACTTGGAGACAATTCCAAAAAAAAACTACCAAATATTAAAATTAAAACCAAGAATTTCTCAATCCATAGCTAAGTAATTTGAGTGCAGATGTAATCATAATTCACAGTTTAACCAATAGAAAAGGAAATGAGAATTAGATTTTTGAAAAACTATGCACACGTGAAAATAAAACAATTAAAAAATTTCGTGCAATTGACACGGATTATTTTAATGAAACCTTTTCGTAGAATTGCCCTTATCAGTTGCATTACTCCCCATGTTTCATGTATTTAATAGTAGATTTTACCGAGATCTACATATTGTTCTCACCCAAACATATTAAAAAATGGTTAATTAAAGAATTATTTACATTCTACGAAAAATTACTCTGTTTCACATGAATTTTTTCGCCCAAATTTCGAAAATGTTTTCATTAATATCTTTAAGGTGGTAAAATTTCCAGTAATACTAAGTATACAAAGTTATAGCTTAAAGTAAAAGCTTCAAAACGATGTCAAAATCATATTTGTGGACGCCTTAATTAAGCTGCAATTTGGATTCTACGAAAAATTTCATAAGTGAAACAGAGTAACTTGGAGACAATTCCAAAAAAAAACTACCAAATATTAAAATTAAAACCAAGAATTTCTCAATCCATAGCTAAGTAATTTGAGTGCAGATGTAATCATAATTCACAGTTTAACCAATAGAAAAGGAAATGAGAATTAGATTTTTGAAAAACTATGCACACGTGAAAATAAAACAATTAAAAAATTTCGTGCAATTGACACGGATTATTTTAATGAAACCTTTTCGTAGAATTGCCCTTATTCAATTTCTTTGTTTTTCAACTTTGAACCGTTTAAACCAATTGAACCGGTTCAAAAATAGCTTTTTGGATGTCAATTCCAACGATATATAATATGCCTATGTTATCTCGTATAGTTTTAGAGTTATAACAAGTAAAAGAAAAAAATGCAAAGACGACATTTTGCTGCAATTGCGCAAATTTCAAATAGATTTAGCCCTATATGACAAAGGAGACAAAAATAATGTTCATGCATGTTTTTCAAAAAAAAATTATCTTACTTTTTACAATTAACTAAACAGGTGCTGGGGTAAATTCCTTTTATAGTTCTTCAACGAAGTTATTTTCATACTTTCATTATTTTTTTTTTCTTTTCACATATTTTCGTCATTTGACCGTTAAGAAACAGAAATAAGTTGGGAGGAAAAGAGAATATAATATAATGAAGAAAAATTATTCTTGCATGAAATGTTAAATTCCCACGATTAATTAGAAATACACACTGAAATTATTCATTTTAACTTTTAAATATTTTTGCATTAATAATTTGCTTCTCTTCTCTTTCAACTTCATGTGCATTAAATATCAAAGAAGTATATTTTCATGTATAGTTTTCCTAAAAAAAGTGCATAAAAATTTGGCCACAAGTTAATATTAATTTCTATAGCGATCTACTGCGAATTTGAATCTCAGGAGTTGCATTTTTTCTATAGAGAAAAGTGTTACACAGATATCAATAAAATACACGAGAAAGAGGATTTTTTTTAAAAAAAATAGATACACGTATACATACAATACTCGATAGTTTATTAAAACTAACTCCAATATTTAGTAAAGTGATCAAAGTCATGGGATTTTTACGACTTTAAATCTATCTCTTTCAAGTTTAGATATTTTTGATTTTTAATTTACTATAGGAATTATTACATTATTTCTATATGAAACCTAGTAACAAGTAACTACATAAAAAACTGACTATTCCTTTTTATTGAATTATAGATTATAATTGGATATTAATAAACACAGATCTTGCACAGACCTCTTTTTTTGATGAAAAAAAAACCTTATTGATGATTCAGTTTTAACTGTAGGTGTGGTACAATAGATTTGCCTTAGTGCCTTCAGCTCAAAAGGCTGAGCCTCCAAGCATTTTAATTTTTTGATGAGTCAAAAAATGTTAAATTAAAAAAAAGTCGTAGAATTTAATTTGTTTATTTTCGTATTTTTTCATATGAACTATCAACATTTACTCATACTAAATACATAAAATACATATATTTTACAGCGATTCTCTGTACATGTCTTCAAAAACAGTGTGGCAAAAAATACAATAAAAAGCGTATCCCACACATAACTAGAAATACATTTGATGAAAGAATAAACAAAGACAAAATAACAGCATATGTTTTATAGAAAAAATGAGGGTGCTGTTACTGTTACTTTTTGTCTTCACCCAAGATTGTTATTGTGGAGGTAAGTATTATCCGAAATTCAAATTTTTATAATTTACCGCTATAAAATTAAGTTGATCCAAATATAGCTTTAAATTTTCTAAATCCACTAGTAATTAATATCCTTAAAATAATGAAATTAATACTTTCATTATTGATATATTATAGATTCAACGACACTGTATATAAGTCGCGGCACCACGACGCATTTAAAATGCCCTATCGACACGAAAAACTGCGGTGAGTTACACTCAGTCAAATGGTTTAAAGGATTAGAACGAATTGGAGTTGCTTCCGGTGATGGAAGTTTTACTCAAGTAGAAGGTTCTGAGAAAGAAAGGTATGAATATGAAGTTTGAGTAGATATAAATATTAATCATGCTTCTTTTATGGTAATAACTTTTTGATTTCTTCTTTCTTTTCTTTAAATCATTTAATTAATAAAAAAAAATTTATTAAAAAGACTCCGTATAGAATTTAAAACCGGCAAATCGGTACTTTTAGAAATCAAATCCGTCCGCATAGAGGACGAAGATTTGTATTCATGTGAAATTACATATCTTGAGCCTACTGAAACGTGTGATACATCAGATGAATATAAAATTAATTTGAGTGTTGTTGTATCTCCGTCAATAGTATCCATAATGCATAAGGATGGAACTATTATTCGAAACGGATCAACCATCGGACCGCTCAAAGAGGGACACCGTTTAGAAACAGTTTGTTTAGTACATGGTGCTAGACCGAAACCAATAGTAGGATGGTACCGTAACGGTCGAAAGTTAACACATCAAATTCCAAGTTCTGATGAAAATTCCGGACTTCATGATGTACAATCAAATTTATCACTAACATTATCACGTCATGAATTGGGTTCCATTCTCGAATGTCGTATATCAACAACACCAAATGAATCAATTTTGTCAATGCAAATTTATATAGATTTAGAAGTAAGGCCGACAAAAATTCACCTAAGTGGCGTTAAATCGCACGTTGTTGAAGGATCGAAAGTTCTTCTACAATGTCAAGTGGAAGGTGCAAGACCAGCTGCAAATATTTCGTGGTATAATTCTTCAAAACTAATCGATGAGTTAAATGAATTGACTACCATTAGCACAAATGCTGTAAGTGGTGAAACTTATTAAAGATTTCGCTTAAATCATACAAAAAACTTTGATTTGTTTTTAAACTTTTATATAGCATCCAAAATCTGATGGAACTTATGAGACCGTCAGTCAAATGATCTTTACAGCAACAAGATTTGAAAATAATGCATTAATACGATGTGAAGCTGATAATGTTGTCATGCGAAATGAAATGGATAAGCCATTGCATGATACAATACCATTGGAAGTTTTATGTAAGTTTACATTTTTTCGTCAAATTTGAGAAATTTTTATGATATCCAATGTTTTTGCTAATTTTTAAATTACTTTGTGCAACAGACCCTCCTTTAGTTGTTGTTAAGCCAGACAATTTTACAGTAAACGAAACTGGAGAATTTCTATTGTTTTGTGAGTATGATGCAAATCCTGTATCATTGCAAAGCGTTAGATGGCTACAAAACCATACAGTCCTTAACTTAAATCAATCACGATTTGATGGAGGTAATCCAGAATTGACTGCTTTGCTTGTGAGAAATGCTACACGGGAAGATAGTGGAACGTATGTTTGCGAATTATCAAATCAAGTAGGAACTGGAATGAGTGAGCGCGGGATTGTCGTTGATGTTCAATGTGAGTGTGCAAACATAAAATAGATGAATCCATACAATATGAAATTTAACACCTTCTTTTCCCTTCTCCATTCTTTTGGCTGCTGCATGTTTAATGCATTACGATAAAGATAAACCAAGTGTATTGATTCGCTTCGAGCCACCTTCACCAATAATTGAAAACGATCGTGTGAATGTAACTCTACATTGTGATGTTGTCGATGGAAATCCACGTAAATTACTTAAAGTTCAATGGATGATAAATGGCGATGTATTGACAGAATTACCCGAATGCAACGGTAAATATATGGGCCCCGACGTTTTTATAAGGATTTTTAAAAATTTGAATTTTTCTCTCATTAATCCCGAATATTATGATTTGAATACGAAAAAAAGACGATACATTAACTGTTCTAAATATTTTAAGAGCTTTTACGTCATTATTAAGTGATATTTTCGTGACTTTTAAAAAATGTCATTTTCGATTTTGTTTGTAAACAAACAAATTACAACCGAAAAAAAACGTTCACACGTGAAAATGGTGTGAATATAAAAATTCAAAAAAATTACAACACGGGGCAAATCCGCGGGCAATAAAACGCTTCAAAATTTTGTTTTTGGGCAATTCTCCAGATGAGTTGAGTTTTTGAAAAAAGAGCTTTTATAATCCAAAGTCATTTACTGTTTACTTTCAATTTTTTTTTGTAAATATCTTGTCAATTACTTTGTTTTGATTGCTTAAAGCAACTTTAAACTGTTTATTACGATCGATTCTTACTGAATCAACAATAATTCAACCATGAAGTGTTAAATTAAGACTAAAATTTAATTTTTATGAAATATTTGTATTGCATTTTTTTCATGGATTTGCAAAATAAAAGCTTAATTTTTTACTGTCAGCAAAAAAATCCACCAAAGAATCAAAAATTCTCTTTAAATAAGAATAATTGGAGTGGGATATGATTATGGTTAGATAGATTAGCTCAAAAACTACATTTCTGCATAATCATAATAAAAAATGAGTGTTTACTTTTCTTCAATTTTCGATTCTCCGGATGATTATTCCATTTTTTGCTGACAGTAATTTGCAAAAAAAATTGAAAAAACTTAATTATTGGCTACTTTCAAAGACTTAAATAGATAAAATATAATAGTTTTTGCCATTTTACATCGATTTAAATGTAAAAGTAATGCTTGGTAATGGAAAATTTCCGAGAAAATTTGATTCTCCGGATGATTTTTTGAAAAACTTATCTGGAGAAATGCCCTTTTCTCAAATTTCTCTCCTATTTGACTTTTAAAGTAATGTTTTAATACCAAATCATGCGTAATTTTGAAAAATGAACAGCTTTTGATACTTAGCACAAGATTAAAACATTTAATTAAAGAGATATTTTGAATTTAATAGCGTTAATCGATCCTGCACACGAAAATTTCATTTTGAAAAATCCAAAAAAAATACATGTTTAACGAGTTAGACAATATGGCTTGCAAGTTATTGCATTGGAAATGCAATTTTGTATCATAAATTGACATCATTTCTTAAATATACGTACTCAATTTAAAGTAATTAACAAAAAATAGCGTTAATCGATCTTGCAGAACGTTTTATTTCGAAACTCAAGATAATGCATTGTTGCAAAACACACAATAATATTTAAAATTTTAGAAAACGTTGGAAAATTTTCAGTCCTACAATTCATACATTATCATACATATAACTGTGCTGAACATATATTAAACTTTAATTATAAACTTTTCTGCAATAATTTATTGATAAAAACCAGAGATCGAAATATTTTTTCAGCATGTAGCTATAGTAATCTCTGAATTTCAATTTAGCCGATTTTAAGCCGATCGGCTTAAATTTCAGCTTAACATTCTTTAACTTGAAATTCTGAGCTCACTATAGCTACATGCTGAAAAAATATTTCACAGAATCATAGTAAAGCGTGTAAAGTTCAATTTAAATACTTAAAATGGGTGTTAAATGGCTTTTTTCTATCAAAAAAATCAAAAATTGAGTTAAGCCGAAAAACTCGGCTTCGATCTCTGATAAAAACCATCCAAAATAATTTAAGCAACAGAATAATAACTTTTTATGAAGAAATTTTAACGTATTTTATTTTTTTGAATTCAAACAAGTAGAAAAATATTACAACTCGCTTTTTCCCAGTTCATGCTTTCTGCGGATTTGCCCCATGTAAAAAAAATTTGGATTAATTTTGTCCATTTAGAATTGATCCATAGAGAGTCTTCATCGATCAGCTGTGCTATCGCACAGCATAAGTTTGTAAACTAGAATTAAACCATAGCAAGTCATGTAGCGTATTTTTTTGTGATTCAAACTTATAACGGCTCTTTGAAATTTAAAATTATTGAAAGTTGTACAAATGTTATGTAAAAATAAGCGAAGCCTTTTAAGCTAAGAATTTTTAAGTTTCCGAGATGCTTGAATATTGTATTGTCATCGGAAAGATAAGTGCATGCAAAATTTCAGCTCGTTTGGAGCAGTAGAAGTGGTCGACAAAATTGATCGCAAAATTTGAATTTTTTTGCAAACAAACAAACAAACAAACAAACAAACATGAAAGCAAGTTTAGAAAAACGTGGTAAAATAATAATAAAATAAATTTGGTGATATATCAATGAACAGTAATGAAGATATATTAAAATTCCCGAAAATTGTACGTGAGTGACGCCTAGTAAAAGTGATTTTTTAAGTAACTGTAAAGTATCAAGAAGTGAATTTTACAATATTAGATGTGGATTTTAATTCTCTTTTTTTTAAACAAAATCATGGGTTCGAGATTTGGCATGGGAAATTTTTGCATGTTCTTTTTAGCGCATTTTTGAAACTTGTTTCGAAAAGGTAGCTTAATATCTCACTATGTCTGTTCGTTCGGGCGGAGAAAAACTTTTTAACTAGACATCGTAGAGAGTTCTAGTTTGTTTTATTAGCTCAGGTCCATTGTTTTATTTTCGGGAAACGCATTTAAAAGTCTTGAAACAGTCTTTTTGTTCTATAATTAATGATTTTTATATTTCATATGAAAAAACACGTGATGAGAGCGTTTAGAAATACGAATTTATTTCTACCGTTGAAAAATTTTGAATCTCAAAAAACCGTTGAATTACAAAGCCTTTTTAAATGAAAATTTTTTGCAACAGACTGTTATTTATACTATAAGGGTAATTCCATGAGAAATTTTTGTAAAAAATTTACTTAAAATTGATTTTTTTCATATTTAGGCTTTACAAAAGTTAATAAGATTTTCACAGTGCATGTAAAAAGTCATATGGTATATGATTTGACATTAATTTTCTATCTAAAGTGGTTAATTCGTCCAAAAAATTGATTCCATGAGCGTTACTTGGTAACGCTATAAATGTTACCAAGTAACGCTATAAAATATAATTTTTTGGACTTAATAATCACTTTAGATGACATTTTAATGTCAAATAACATACCTTATGGCTTTTAACATGTCCTGTGGAAATCTTATTAACTTTTGTAAAGCCTAAGGATGAAAAAAATCAATTTAAAGAAAATTTTATAGCAAAATTATAGCATGGAATTACCCATAATTAATGATTTTACTGTAACTTTTGGCAAGATACTTTCAAACGCATACGACCGTTACAAAATTTGAACTTCAGAAAACCGTTAAATGATAAACAATTTATATAGGAGAATTAAAGATATTAAATTGATAAATATACTATAATTAATGATTTTTTGTGTATCTCTTGGCGGGAAGCTTTCAAAATTTTACTGACCGTTAGAAAATTTGAATCTCAAAAAACCGTTAAACGATAAACTTTTTCTATATGGAAATTCATTTCTACAAATTATTAATTATACTATAGTTATTGTTTTTGACAACTTTTAGCGGGAAAATTTCAAATTATTTATTGAGCGTTAAATAATAAAGCTTTTCTATATAAGCATTCATTGTAATTATTTGCTAATTGCACTAAAATCGATGATCTTCTAATCTTCTTATGATCTGTAAATGAACGCAAAATATGTAGACAATCAAATGCTGATCGCTAACACAAAAATGCGCTTAAGTCCCTCGATCAATAACACGAGGACTTCTGTAATTTTTTGAATCATATGTACTTTAAAAATGTCATGAAAAGAGTGTTCCGGATTCCATTATAAACTATTTTTTTTTCATATTTCAATAATAATGACAATAATGTCATTCTTTATTGAAGAGATTGAATTAATTAAAATTGATATCTTTACATTTTTTAAATCTATTATTTTTTCTCTCTCTACAAAGGAAAAAGCCCCCTTAACTAGTACTTAAACTAGTTAAAAAGGCATAAAAAACCTTTGTAGTTTCTGAGAGTCTTCTTAAATCTAAGTGCGAGAATAAAACCGTTACATTCAAATTACAAGTTTAAGCTAACTTTTTTTTACTAGACTATAGGTCTAGAGTTAGACAATTAGTTCGATTGGATTGTGTTTTATTATTTGTTATTAATTTATTCGGTTTAACGCACAAATTGTTAATTGTTGTGTATACTATTCGGTTGTAATCTAGTGCCTTTACATAAAAACTGTCAGGATCAGCCTATACATCGTCTGTTTAGTGAATTAAAGAGTTTTTTTGTGATAACCTATCACTGAAAAAATATTTTTGTTAAAATTTTTATTTAACAAGAACAACTGCTGTTTCAAAGTAAACAGCTTCTTCAATCAAATTACTGCCTATCTGTAGTGCATATTCGTTGTATCATTCCGTCGTCAAACAACATTAATTCAGTGAAAACTGTAATAAAGCTTGGTACAAAAGAACAACAAATTAATTGTCAAAATCAAAGCTTAAAGCTGGATATTCATCATCTCTACTCCATCTGACTCCCACTGGGTCTTTATTCTGGCTGTTGTGTACTTAATTACCAGCAGTCAAGTGCTTGCACGGTGAGTGCCTTTTAATAAAGCCTGAACCTTCTTTCTGTTGTCGGTTTTCCGATTTTTTATTTCCAGCTCAAACTGTATTTAGTGGGAGTCAGTACATTCATTCGTCATGCCACCCAAACATCAACAACCGCTCCCGAAAAGGAATAATCTAGAAATGTCAAAGGATGACAAAGAGAATAAGGAAGTGAGTAATTTTGAAATATTCCAACTTATCGAGAAGATGAGAGCAGAGAACAAACAAGGAATAGATTCCCTAAAAAATGAACTTGGCACAAAAATATCAGAAATTCAATTATTGCTATCACATATGCAGCAAAGAATTGATGGAATGGAAACAAAAATACAGCAAGCAAATGCAAAAGCAGACGAAGCACTTAAGTTGGCGTATAAGAACAAAACAGCTTTAAACATGATTTCACAGAACTTGCTACAAAAAAGAATGGAAATCTCAGGCTCGAATATAGACGTTACTCTCAAAGGTGATGACCTAACGACAAAAATAAAGGAATTAATCGAGTCATTCGGTGTAACAGTCAAAGATCATGAATTAATTCAACCATTTCAACGTACTAGAAAGCAACCAGTCCTGCAAACACCTGTTGTGGTAGTCGAATTTAAGAATCTAGATACCAAATTGAAAGTTCTAAAAGCAAGAAAAACCGCTTTAGGCAGCAAAGTTTTTTTCGACAATAGTCTTACTCCACTGAATCGATTTTGATGTATAAAGCGAGAGAAGTTGCAAAGGAAAAAAAATACTTTATAAAAATAACTTTTTAAAAAAACTACGTTTTTCGCGTAGACTAAAAAGTAGAAAATAACTTTTATTCTTGGTTGTAAAGAATTTGGTTTTAAATTTTCAGATTATATTTAATAAATTTTTATATCTTAGTCAATATTGTTCACAAAGTTTCGAATAAGTGCACTTTGATCTTATCGTATAACTCAACAACTTAAAAACGTGGGCGCATTAATTTAAGTTTATCATAAAGTATTGATTTCACATAAACTTATTTCTCCTCTTATAATGCGCCCACGTTTTTAAGTTGTTGAGTTATACGATAAGATCAAAGTGCACTTATTCGAAACTTTGTGAACAATATTGACTAAGATATAAAAATTTATTAAATATAATCTGAAAATTTAAAACCAAATTCTTTACAACCAAGAATAAAAGTTATTTTCTACTTTTTAGTCTACGCGAAAAACGTAGTTTTTTTAAAAAGTTTTTTTTATAAAGTATTTTATTTTCTACTTTTTAGTCTTATTCTAATGAAATAGAGAAATAAAGATTATAGGGGGTTTATAGGTTACAGGTGTGTTGAACTTCACTTCGTTGCACTTCGTTACGTTCAACTGTTTAAAGATTACAGTGGGTTTATAGGTTACAGGTGTGTTGAACTCCACTTCGTTGCACTTCGTTACGTTCAACTGTTTATAGATTACAGTAGGTTCATAGGTTACTGGTGTGTTGAACTCCACTTCGTTGCACTTCGTTACGTTCAACTGTTTATAGATTACAGTAGGTTTATAGGTTACAGGTGTGTTGAACTTCACTTCGTTGCACTTCGTTACGTTCAACTGTTTATAGATTACAGTAGGTTCATAGGTTACTGGTGTGTTGAACTCCACTTCGTTGCACTTCGTTACGTTCAACTGTTTAAAGATTACAGTGGGTTTATAGGTTACAGGTGTGTTGAACTCCACTTCGTTGCACTTCGTTACGTTCAACTGTTTATAGATTACAGTAGGTTTATAGGTTACAGGTGTGTTGAACTTCACTTCGTTGCACTTCGTTACGTTCAACTGTTTAAAGATTACAGTGGGTTTATAGGTTACTGGTGTGTTGAACTCCACTTCGTTGCACTTCGTTACGTTCAACTGTTTATAGATTACAGTAGGTTTATAGGTTACAGGTGTGTTGAACTTCACTTCGTTGCACTTCGTTACGTTCAACTGTTTATAGATTACAGTAGGTTTATAGGTTACTGGTGTGTTGAACTCCACTTCGTTGCACTTCGTTACGTTCAACTGTTTATAGATTACAGTAGGTTTATAGGTTACAGGTGTGTTGAACTCCACTTCGTTTCACTCCGTTACGTTCAACTGTTTATAAATTACCAGTTTTCAATGGGAAATTAGTAACGACTTTCAAAATTTTTCATTCGTTTTATAAAATTTAATTTTTTTAAAGCATTCATTAGTAAAGTACATTAAAAATCACTCGTAAAGATTTTGTGTTTATCCGAACCATTCCTACTACATAACGTGTGGATTCTTAACATAAAGATGCAAATCAAATCTATATGTAACGTATTTATAACGGATTTTCAAATTTAAATTCACTGAATATCATTCATATGTTATGCAAAAATACGTCAAGCCGTTAATAAAAAGAAAAGTCAATTTAATTAAGTTGGTGAAGTGTTATAAATAATGCAATACATTTAAAACAGCATAAATTTATGCTCAATCAATGTGTGCTAAATGCACATCGCATATTAATAGTTATTTTGCATAAATTCGTAACGGACTTAGGCTTAACGGTTTTTTTGAAAATTCAAATTTTCACTTACGAATATTCATGAAAAAATTACATGTCAATTTTTTTGTCTTACCAGAATATCTTTAGCTGCTCAAATTTATGGTATAATTAATAATTAGTAATATTAATTAAACTATAATGAATCATATAAATGACTTTAGAGCATCACAAGTATAATATTTTAAACAAATCAAAATTTCATATCATTGACATTGGATTTTTCTCCCAAATAAAAAAGTTTTATTAAAATTGTACTATAATTAAGCATTTTTGTGGTTCCAATGTGTTAAAATATTGTATTGTCACCGGGAATACGTGTGAATAAAAAAAATGAGCTCGATTGGAGCAGTAGAAGTGGTCGAAAAATTGATTGCAAGATTTGACCAAGACAAACAGAAAGACAGAAAGACAGAAAGACAAGAAAGCAAGTTAAGAAAAACGTGGTAAAAACTTCAGAGTCTTCTTGAGTGGTGATCAAGTCCATGTCAAAAAGGACAACGACACAAATCTAATTATAAATGACATCTGCGACGTTGAAAAAATCAAAAGCTGGATTCCCAATCTTCGTGTATGACACAATTCTCTCACTGAATTCAAAATATTTTGTAACCGCCTTTCTGCTAATTAACTTGTTATTATTTTGAAAAATTGTTTAATCAATAGCAGAGATCGAAGCCGATTTTTTCGGCTTAACTCAATTTTTGATTTTTTTGATAGAAAAAAGCCATTTGACACCCATTTCAAGTATTTAAATTGAACTTTACATGCTTTACTATGATTCTGTGTAATATTTTGTCAGCATGTAGCTATAGTGAGCTCAGAATTTCAATTTAGCCGATTCCAAAAAAATCAAAAATTGAGTTAAGCCGAAAAAATCGGCTTCGATCTCTGATCAATAGCTTTTTCTATTTGTTTCATAACATTTTTAACAAAAGATCTTAAAGGAAACTTATGTTTCATTGATCTCTTGCAATTTTAATTTTATTTGTCAATTTTTAATAATTTTTATTATTCATGTATTCAGTACAATGTAATTTAAGTCATGTAATTAATACTCTTTCTCTTCTGAAGGTTTTTTATGCCTCTTCAAACAGTTTAAGTACTGTTTGAGGAGGCTTTTTCCTTCTTAAATGGAGAGAAGAGCGTATTTAAAATAAAAATTCCTACTTCATTGAAAAAAAAAAAAAAAAAAAAAGGTCTTGTGCGAGCGGGAGGTTTGGCGCATCCTCAACCAATATATTGTTAGTCATGTAACGCAATGAATCTTAAGATCTGAACAGCTAAAGTTTATTTTATTTAAGCTACTATAAAGAATTTAAAAATTACATTATTTACAATTAATTTTAATTTCTTAATCATTTTATTCTTTCTTAACTATATTAGATGATGCCTTTGAAGATGGAAATGATGATGACTCAAGCGAAGATTATGAAACGAAGATTCAAAAGAATCAAAACTATTTCTGCTTCATCGATCCAACAAAAATTCTTTTACAAAACGTAAACCGTGAATTCTTAGGTAACTACTCATGTAGAGGATATAATGCAGCAGGATGGGGACAAAAAAGCGAACAAAAACTCTTAAATGTATATTATGAACCTGGAAATGCTAGTTTAACAGTTTCTCCTCCGATACCTTTAAAACGAAAAAGTATGACGTTAAGATGCTCTGTTGATGATAAAGGTAATCCACCATCCACGCGTTTTCATTGGTTACGTGGAGAAGACCCTGTAAAGGATATTGTATCGTCAGAATGGATTATCGATCCAGTGTCACTTCATAGTCGAAATAATTTTTCTTGTTATGCTATAAATGATGGCGGCAATGGAACGATGGCAACTATTAATGTGGAAGTTCAAGTTGCACCAACATTTATTAGTACACTTCCGCAATATAGTGGTTTCCTTTATTCAGAGCCGAAAATTATGCTAACATGCCGTATCGAGTGCGTTCCAAAATGTTCTATTTATTGGTTTTTGGACGGTGAAGAAATTTCGAACCTAAACGAACGATATTTTATAAATGAAACTTCCATAGCTGCTGATACTTCAACTGGTGATTTTGAAAGTGTTCTATCAGAACTGGTAAAAATTTCTTGCGTAAATTATTTCTAAAGTTTAACTTCTTCTCAATTTTTATATTAATTCAGCATTTCAATTTATCAGCATGGTCGAACAAACGATTAAATATACTCAAAGATTCAGCAAATTATACATGTAGTTCATCTAACAATTCTGTTGGTCTAGGCGTTAGAAGTGTAACATCATTTGGAGTTGAATGTAATTACATAGCTATTTTATATTGAAGACTGTTGCTGTATGATTAACATATCATATTTTTACGTTAAAAGCCACTCCTCGTTACTAAGCCAGTAGCTTGATGATAAAATAATTTAATGGTAGGAATTAATAGCTTGAACAGTTTCAAAGTAGTTTGGACTTGAAAAATTTCAGATTTCAATGAAAATTATTAATATTTTTTGTTTGTTGACATTTTTTTAACAAGTCACTATCCGTTATTAAGCCTTTTTTTTTACGATTTTGAAACCCTTTTTTATAACATAAGCCACTGGCTTACAACGTAATAATATTAATATAATATTAATTAAAATAATTTTATTGCATAATGTAATAAGTGAAAGCGCCCCAACCTTATTTATACCTTTATTTTATTAAAATTGCTATTATTGAGTAAAAAGTATTAAATATTACATAAAATGACGTAGAAAAAATAAATGAGATCTCAAAACCGACCAAGCAGCCGAATAAAGTGAATGATTAAACTCCTTTTTAGAAACAAGTTTCAACTAGTGTATCGGGTAGAAACCCAATGCGGATATATTCACACCGTACCATCAAAAGTCTTATAGATAGACCAAGATTTGCTCAGCATAAGTTTGAAGGGTGGGCATGAAGTACGGCCGAGACCCACATCGACACAGTTCAAAAGTTATACCTCATTTATGTTATAATTATGTCAGCTACAAAAACACTTAGTTTGAAGTTTGTCACCCTCGGGAACACTATGAACCAGTATAGCTGATTTTGGTCCAAATCTCGGCCATACTTCACACTTATTTGAACCACATTTTCTCGTAAATGTTAAAATTTCATTAAAAAGTAATTAATCTTGAATTATGTCGCTATTTTGTCAAGTGTTTTAAGATAAAGAATTTGTTTTTGGTTTCCACAGTGAAGAGTACGTACAAAATTTAGATGGGGTAGTCGAAATTTTAGATTTCGATTTTTTTAAGCTATGCATTACAAAAAGTAATATTGGTATGTGATTTATGTCAGAATTATGTCAATTCATATAAAATATCCTAAAATTTTTTTGAGCAAAGAACCAAGTAGGAAATACATTTTCAATTTTGGACTAGGGGCGACCCTAGTCAAAATCAATTTTCTCACTTTTTTCTTCGAGGGTTTATCTAAATGGATTGATACTTTGCATAAATATTCTAGTGCTTAAAAAAATACAAATAAAACATCTTAAAATTTTTTTAAGCAAAGAACCAAGTAGGAAATACATTTTCAATTATGAACTTGGGACAGGTCTAGTCAAAATCTAGTTTTTCACTTTTTTTTCTTCGAGGATAAATCAAAATACAGTAAAACTTTGTATGAGCATTCTAATCCTCAGGTCACACATTTCTGAATTAATAAAAATTATTTTTTTGGACAAAATTTAAGTCACGTTGTTTTTAAATGTACAACCAAATTTATAAAATTTGGGTCTGACGACATATAGAATACATTTCTTCCTTTAGATATTTCAAGATATATAGATGTGCTCATACAAAAATATCGCAGTTTTTAAACGTCAAAAATTTGAATTTTCTAAAAACACTAACACTATAAAAGAAAATTTTCAATTTTTGTTTTGCAAAATTTTCAACTTTCTGTTAAGTTTTGTTGATACAGGAGTATTGCAAATGCTTTGCTATAATTAAAAGTAACTGACTAAAGTCAAATAATGTTGCATCTGTCGATATTTAAATGAAAACTTGAAAATAGAAAATTTTAAAAATTTTTGTTTGTATAAGTACACAAAAAATAGTATGGTCGAGTATGGTCAAGTATACTCTGTATGAGCCCATATATATATCTTGAGATATTTAAAACTGTTTTGTATAAATATTAGTATACTCACTCAAAGTTTCACTGTAATTGGATAAATCTTCGAAGAAAAAAAGTGAAAAACTAGATTTTGACTAGACCTGTCCCAAGTTCATAATTGAAAATGTATTTCCTACTTGGTTCTTTGCTCAAAAAAATTTTAGGATGTTTTATTTGTATTTTTTTTAAGCACTAGAATATTTATGCAAAGTTTCAATCCATTTGGATAAACCCTCGAAGAAAAAAGTGAGAAAATTGATTTTGACTAGGGTCGCCCCTAGTCCAAAATTGAAAATGTATTTCCTACTTGGTTCTTTGCTCAAAAAAAATTTAGGATGTTCAATTTGTATTTGTTTTAAGCACTAAAATATTTATGTAAAGTTTCAATCCATTTGGATAAACCCTTCGAAGAAAAAAGTGACAAAATTGATTTTGACTAGGGTCGCCCCTAGTCCAAAATTGAAAGTGTATTTCCTACTTGGTTCTTTGCTCGAAAAAATTTAGGATGTTCAATTTGTATTTGTTTTAAGCATTAGAATATTTATGCAAAGTTTCAATCCATTTGGATAAACCCTCGACAAAAAGTGAGAAAATTGATTTTGACTAGGGTCGCCCCTAGTCCAAAATTGAAAATGTATTTCCTACTTGGTTCTTTGCTCAAAAAAAATTTAGGATGTTCAATTTGTATTTGTTTTAAGCACTAAAATATTTATGTAAAGTTTCAATCCATTTGGATAAACCCTTCGAAGAAAAAAGTGACAAAATTGATTTTGACTAGGGTCGCCCCTAGTCCAAAATTGAAAGTGTATTTCCTACTTGGTTCTTTGCTCAAAAAAATTTAGGATGTTCAATTTGTATTTGTTTTAAGCATTAGAATATTTATGCAAAGTTTCAATCCATTTGGATAAACCCTCGACAAAAAGTGAGAAAATTGATTTTGACTAGGGTCGCCCCTAGTCCAAAATTGAAAATGTATTTCCTACTTGGTTCTTTGCTCAAAAAATTTTAGGATGTTTTATTTGTATTTGTTTTAAGCACTAGAATATTTATGCAAAGTTTCAGTTCATTTGAATAAACCCTCGAAGAAAAAAGTGAGAAAATTTATTTTGACTAGGGTCGCCCCTAGTCCAAAATTGAAAATGTATTTCCTACTTGGTTCTTTGCTCAAAAAAATTTTAGGATGTTCTATTTGTATTTGTTTTAAGCACTAGAATATTTATGCAAAGTTTCAATCCATTTCTATAAACCCTAGAAGAAAAAAGTGAGAAAATTGATTTTGACTAGGGTCGCCCCTAGTCCAAAATTGAAAATGTATTTCCTTCTTGGTTCTTTGCTCAAAAAAATTTAGGATGTTCTATTTGTATTTGTTTTAAGCACTAGAATATTTATGCAAAGTTTCAATCCATTTGTATAAACCCTAGAAGAAAAAAGTGACAAAATTGATTTTGACTAGGGTCGCCCCTAGTCAAAATTGAAAATGTATTTCCTACTTGGTTCTTTGCTCAAAAAAATTTAAGATGTTTTATTTGTATTTGTTTTAAGCACTAGAATATTTATGCAAAGTTTCAATCCATTTGGATAAACCCTCGAAGAAAAAAGTGACAAAATTGATTTTGACTAGGGTCACCCCTAGTCCAAAATTGAAAATGTATTTCCTTCTTGGTTCTTTGCTCAAAAAAATTTTAAGATGTTTTATTTGTATTTGTTTTAAGCACTAGAATATTTATGCAAAGTTTCAATCCATTTGGATAAACCGTCGAAGAAAAAAGTGACAAATTGATTTTGACTAGGGTCACCCCTAGTCCAAAATTGAAAATGTATTTCCTACTTGGTTCTTTGCTCAAAAAAAATTTAGGATGTTCAATTTGTATTTGTTTTAAGCACTTAAATATTTATGTAAAGTTTCAATCCATTTGGATAAACCCTTCGAAGAAAAAAGTGAGAAAATTGATTTTGACTAGGGTCGCCCCTAGTCCAAAATTAAAAATGTATTTCCTACTTGGTTCTTTGCTCAAAAAAATTTTAGAATGTTTTATTTGTATTTTTTTTAAGCACTAGAATATTTATGCAAAGTTTCAATCCATTTGGATAAACCCTCGAAGAAAAAAAGTGAGAAAATTGATTTTGACTAGGGTCGCCCCTAGTCCAAAATTGAAAATGTATTTCCTACTTGGTTCTTTGCTCAAAAAAAATTTAGGATGTTCAATTTGTATTTGTTTTAAGCACTAAAATATTTATGTAAAGTTTCAATCCATTTGGATAAACCCTTCGAAGAAAAAAGTGACAAAATTGATTTTGACTAGGGTCGCCCCTAGTCCAAAATTGAAAGTGTATTTCCTACTTGTTTCTTTGCTCAAAAAAAATTTAGGATGTTCAATTTGTATTTGTTTTAAGCATTAGAATATTTATGCAAAGTTTCAATCCATTTGGATAAACCCTCGACAAAAAGTGAGAAAATTGATTTTGACTAGGGTCGCCCCTAGTCCAAAATTGAAAATGTATTTCCTACTTGGTTCTTTGCTCAAAAAAATTTAGGATGTTTTATTTGTATTTGTTTTAAGCACTAGAATATTTATGCAAAGTTTCAGTTCATTTGAATAAACCCTCGAAGAAAAAAGTGAGAAAATTTATTTTGACTAGGGTCGCCCCTAGTCCAAAATTGAAAATGTATTTCCTACTTGGTTCTTTGCTCAAAAAAATTTTAGGATGTTCTATTTGTATTTGTTTTAAGCACTAGAATATTTATGCAAAGTTTCAATCCATTTGGATAAACGCTAGAAGAAAAAAGTGAGAAAATTGATTTTGACTAGGGTCGCCCCTAGTCCAAAATTGAAAATGTATTTCCTACTTGGTTCTTTGCTCAAAAAATTTTAGGATGTTTTATTTGTATTTGTTTTAAGCACTAGAATATTTATGCAAAGTTTCAGTTCATTTGAATAAACCCTCGAAGAAAAAAGTGAGAAAATTTATTTTGACTAGGGTCGCCCCTAGTCCAAAATTGAAAATGTATTTCCTACTTGGTTCTTTGCTCAAAAAAATTTTAGGATGTTCTATTTGTATTTGTTTTAAGCACTAGAATATTTATGCAAAGTTTCAATCCATTTGTATAAACCCTAGTAGAAAAAAGTGAGAAAATTGATTTTGACTAGGGTCGCCCCTAGTCCAAAATTGAAAATGTATTTCCTTCTTGGTTCTTTGCTCAAAAAAATTTAGGATGTTTTATTTGTATTTGTTTTAAGCACTAGAATATTTATGCAAAGTTTCAATCCATTTGGATAAACCCTCGAAGAAAAAAGTGACAAAATTGATTTTGACTAGGGTCGCCCCTAGTCAAAATTGAAAATGCAAAGTGGATCTTTATCGTGACAATGTATAAAAAATAAATGAAAATGAATATGCAATAAATGAATATATAAATGAATATGCAAAGTTTCAATCCATTTGGATAAACCCTCGAAAAAAAGTGAGAAAATTGATTTTGACTAGGGTCGCCCCTAGTCCAAAATTGAAAATGTATTTCCTACTTGGTTCTTTGCTCAAAAAAATTTTAGGATGTTCTATTTGTATTTGTTTTAAGCACTAGAATATTTATGCAAAGTTTCAATCCATTTGGATAAACCCTCGAAGAAAAAAGTGACAAAATTGATTTTGACTAGGGTCACCCCTAGTCCAAAATTGAAAATGTATTTCCTTCTTGGTTCTTTGCTCAAAAAAATTTTAAGATATTTTATTTGTATTTGTTTTAAGCACTAGAATATTTATGCAAAGTTTCAATCCATTTGGATAAACCGTCGAAGAAAAAAGTGACAAATTGATTTTGACTAGGGTCGCCCCTAGTCCAAAATTGAAAATGTATTTCCTTCTTGGTTCTTTGCTCAAAAAAATTTAGGATGTTTTATTTGTATTTGTTTTAAGCACTAGAATATTTATGCAAAGTTTCAATCCATTTGGATTAACCCTCGAAGAAAAAAGTGACAAAATTGATTTTGACTAGGGTCATCCCTAGTCCAAAATTGAAAATGTATTTCCTTCTTGGTTCTTTGCTCAAAAAAATTTTTTTCATCCAAAGTTTAATTTAAAAAAAAAATCACAATGAACTTTTAATTTGAAAAATTCGTAAGAAAGGAAAGTATTTTGCTTTTTCTGAAGCAACGGCTGTTCCTACCTTGCCCAAAAACAATACAGCTCTTCTATAGAGCAGCACGGATCAAATTTTAAAAAACTAGAAGTCTCTACGATGTCTCGTTATTGAGATTTTCTGCCGATTAACTTGCTTGCTTGCTTGCTTTCAGAAAGCGTATTTTTCAATTTTCTCAGCAACGCCGCAACCAATTTGAAATCTGTTTTTTGCATACGATGTAAAATTTTAGGCACAAACTTTTCTTCTTTATACATTTATAGCTAAAATGCTTCGTTAACTCACAAAATCCAAAAAACTGATTTTTCAATCTGAACAAAAACAAAACATTCACACGTGAAAACGGTGGGGCAAGACCGCGAAAAAAGTGAACAAATATTGAAAGTTGATTCACTCAGAGTTTAGTTATTCAATCGTCACAATTCTTTCAGTGGCTTATAGCCAAATATAAAAACTGAATTTTTAACCCAATAATTTTAAAATGGCGACTTTATAACTTAGTTTAATTTCTAAATTAAACATTCAAAGTGATTTTTCTCCAAAAAGGAAGCTATAAAAGGAGCTAATATGTTCATAAAAGTTGTTGAGAATCTTATTTTCTTTCATTTATCATACACACATTTTTAAATTAATACACAAAATTAGTTAAATTAACCAAAATTGATTTTACATATAAATTTAATGAAATTTTCATTATTGTCCCTCAAAAAGCATTAATTAATGATAAATTACAACTTTCCTACAAGAATTTACTGCAATAAAGCCTTCTAATTGAGTTAATTTAACTAAAAGTTTATTTTACAACTCTTTAATCAACTCAAAAATTTAAATTTTAAAAAACGGTTAAAAATTTTTGGTTAAAGTTTTTAAAGTTTTTACTTTTTTCTTGTTCTATAACATTATATTGTGATATATTTTGCTAGAACTAAGCATATTTGATGTATAATTATCATTTTACATCATAAAATTAAAAGAATATCTATTCAATTGCCATTCAAAGGCAATTTTACAAAATGACCAAAAAAAGTTAATTATACTACTTTTTTCAAACATTTTTGACTTCTATCATAAAGCCAAGGTCTAAAACTATATTTGTGTCAAGAAAAAAGTTAAGTAAGTTAAAAATTGATAGAAAAATATAGGAAAATAAGGTTAAAAACATTAATTAAATTAACTTATTAAGTCGCCATTTTGTTTTTATTACTTTTTAATGATAACTGTTGTTTTAAACTAACTATTGCTGAAAAAACTATCGAAATCGGTGTAAAACTAAGCGAGATAGACTAGTTTTAGTAAAATTTCAAATACCCTTCCCAAAAATTCAGTGTCAGATTTTGCCTATTTTCAGGCTCTACAGCCTTAAGTATAGTACTTCCAATTAAAAGTTACATACCAAAAGATAGGCATCAAAAAGTTCTATAAAACAGTATGTTTAGTTTTACTGTAAGTATTTTCGTTATAGAGATATAAACGAAATAATAGCAAAATCTGACACTTAATCGAAAAACGGTCTTGCCCCGGTGTGAATGTAAAATTGCGCTAAAAAGTTGAATTTTAAATTGATTACTCAGAAAAAATATGACATTGACTTGAATTTTCATTTATTTTTTATACATTGTCACGATAAAGATCCACCAGAAAATGTTACTGTATCGCAACAAGAGGTGCAAGTTGTTGAAGGAAGAACACCTCCACGTGTTTTATGTAGTGCATCAGCTCATCCAGGTAATTATAAAATAATTTTATTCATACATAATTATATTAGAATTCTCAATTCTCTTTATTGCTTTTAGCACCGAAATATCAATGGAAGCGTTGGGACACTAATGAAGTTTTTGTTCGTAATTCACCCGTTTTAACATTCCCTAATGGCTTGAATCGAACGGACAAAGGCATCTACTCATGCATAGTTGAAAATAAACATGGCAACAATGTCGCCAACATTACTATGAATATTTTATGTAAGTTTTCAATGCGTTATTTAAAAATTTTTTTATTTTGATATTTTCCTCATAGATGCTCCCAATTGTACAATCACACGTAAAGAAGAAGATGGCGAAGACACATTGATTTGTGTGGCCGATGGAAATCCAGAAGACTATCAATATATTTGGGAGTTCTCATCAGAGAATGAAACCGACATAAATAAGAAACTCGATTATAAAACCAGAAACAAAAAATCTTATCTTATATTAGGTGATGTACCACAAAAGCGAGTTTATATATGCCGTTCTAACAATACAGTTGGGACAGGATCACAATGTGAAATAAGTGTTGAAGGTAATTATTTTAGGATGTCCTTACAGCAAGAACGAACAAATGTTTCAAGATCGCTCAAACTTTATTCTGTTCTCAGGTCATTTGTTGTGGTGGAATAAACTTTGGTCCCTTGCACCGTATATTATAGTCTCTCTCGTTGTCATATGTCTGATTGCCGTAATTATTTTAATATGCATCATCATATGTTTGTGCAGACGTCGTCGAAAACGATCAAGTAAAAGTAAGTTCCTTACAAATGAAATCACTTATTGGAAAATATATTTGAAAATCAGCACTAAAATTGTACTTGTTTGTTTTTTTTTTATTTCATCACAGGCATGGAAAAATCTCTTGTGGATAATAAACCAAACGATCCAGGCGCCGAACCTTGTGAAAATTACGAAAATTTACCATTTCATGGTTTACAGAATCCTCCATCAAAGGTAAGAGACTGTTATGCTTGTCTTCTTTTTAGCGCATTTTTGAAACTTGTTTCGTTAAGGTGGCTTAATAAGACGATTTGTTCGTTTGCTCGGCTGCTTGCAAAAACTTTTGATCTAGACATCGTATAGAGTTCTAGTTTTTTGCGTTAGCTGTGTTCAATCGTTTTATTCCGGCGACGAATAGTTAAAAATCTCAAAATCATCGGGAAACACTATAATTAATGATTTTTTTGATTTCAAAATAATGTAAAAAATGGGGCCAACTTCAAGTGGGAGAATTTCAAATGTATTTTGAACGTTAAAAAGTTTGAATTTCAAAAAATCGTTAAATGACAAATCGAAAAACTCATTGCAATAAATTGTTAATTATCCTACAATTACGCTGTTTTTTCGTTATAAGCTAGTAGCTTAGAAGAATAAAAAAGTGATTTTTTTGGCTCACTAGTAGCTTAGTAACGAGTAGTAGCTTAGTAAAGAAATAGAACTTCAATAAAAATTTTGAATTTTTTAACTTAATTAAAGAAATTTTGCTATCTTCTCGGTTTTATTTCATTGACAATGTCATAAGGCATTGAAACTGATACTCAGAAAGTTGAAAAAGATTAATTATACTCTATTTTTGGTAGTAGCTTAGTAAAGATTACAAAAAAAATTCAAGTTCAAAAAACTTTACTAAGCTAGTAGCTTAATAACGAGTAGTAGCTTATAACGAAAAAACAGGGTAATGATTTTCTAGTGCATTAAAACGTGGGAAAATTTCAAATATATTTTGACCGTTAGAAAGTTTTACACTTAAATTGATGATCTTCTGATCTTTTAATGATCTGTAAATGAACGCAAAATAATTAGATAATCAAATACTGATCGCTAACACAAAAATGCGCTGAAGTCCCTCGATATATAACACGAGGACTTTCGACAATTTTTTAATTATCTTTAAAGTTAATTCTTCTTGCAATTTCATCAAAATTCATTTTACTAATACTTAACATAAAATTTACTTTTAATACAAGTAGTGTGAACATGATTAATTAAAGAAACAATTGGTTGTTTTTGCATTTGCACGAAAAGTTTAAAATTAAAACAATTTTTCATAAACTTATTGCAAACACTTGCTTAATTTATGATTCACTCTTTAGTGATGGATGTCAGCATATAATTTGTGTAATATTTTTGTGTTCTAGAATTATTGAGCATTCATGATTCGTTAATAATTTATTTAATAGTTTAATTTAAAGATAATGCATTTCCTTTTTAGCGCATTTTCTTTTCAAGAAATGACGCTATTGTCCGCACTTTGTCCGTCTGTCTGTGTTGGCAATTATAAAAAATTTCACTTTTGGAAACCTTATCTAAGAATATCTAAGATATCAATTGAATAGAATAAAAAGACTCACCAAGCTACTAAGCCTAAATTATTCTTTATTTCGTGTCTTCAACAATCGTTCCTTCTTAGCCTCTATGCCTTTAAATGCTCAACAGCATGGAACTTTTATGTTCAAAACCTAATTTTTATATAAATTTTTTAATTATGTGTCTAATCTTTAGTATCTTACTCTTAGCTTACTCTTTCCTGACTTCTTAATTGATTCTTAGCACTATCCTTGGCCTTAATCTCGTAACTTTATAAAATTATTTCACTATTGCTTCTTGCTCTTGCTGATCCTTTATTTCAACACATGTTCTCTATCTTTCAAATTTAAATTTTAACCGTTATAAAATGTCCTCTTGACTTCAAATCTTAACTATTCTTTATCAAATATCCCTCTTTATATGTAAAATTTTTATTGCAATTGCAATTAATTAACTTTCTCATAATCTAGCAATGAAAATTTTTATCAGTCTGTCTGTCTGTCTGTCTGTAATGCTATCTCCTCCTCCAGTTTTATCTTTTTTGATGCGGTTTTCAGCTTATAATATTTATGCTGCTCCTGGCTAGCAGTGGCCAAAATTTCAGAACGATTAGAGCACAGGAAGGTTAATTAAATTAACTTTTAAAATTTTTCACCTAAAAAGTCACATGATTATTTTGGTGTGACTGAAGTAAGCCGGCGTGTTATCACCAAATGATTTGAAACCTTTACCATAATTTCGTAATAATATCGTCGAATTTCGTCAAGCAAACCCCGAATTTCGTCAAGTCAAGACAAGCTACAGCAGCTTCAACTTTTGGGTATATTGCAGGCTAACTTCAGTTGGTAAGAATCTTGAAAACAAGCTTTAACTGACATATTATATATCAAAACACATCTCCTAATTTCGTCGAATTTCGTCATGCAAAAATTTTCCAAATCGGAAGTAACGAACAGGAGTTATGGCTTATCAAAGTTTCGGAACAGACCGTACCTTTCTGGATCTTAAAATTGGTCAATTTTTAATATGGAATGTGACATGTCTAAACATATGTACTTTTTAATAGGATTCAGAATCTGTAAAAATATTTTGGATTGGACCGTCCACAATTGATTTATGTCTACTTCTAGTTATGGATCAAAATTTGAAAATTTCGTCCAAACCGTGTCATACATCGAATATTTAGACTCTTTTCAATGATTTCATATTTTCAAATATATTCTAAATTGGACCGTCTAAATTTGATGAATTTTCATTTTAAGTTATAAAAGGGAACAATTTTACAAAATTTAAAAAAAATTATTTTTTTAAATTTTTAAAACCTTTATATTAGTTTTTGGATTTTTTTAAATTTAAATGTTTTAATCGAAAAGATCAAGTCAAAAAACTTGCAAAAAGTCAATAACATTTGTATAACCAAAAAGTGTACAAACTTTGAAAGTTTTTTATAAATTTTTTGCTGAGAGAAACGAAAAACATTAAAAACTAGCATATATTAAATGCGTTTTTTACCCAAATGGACTATATTACTTAAAATTTTGATAACTTAGATACTTGTGTAAAAAACTATTTGAGAATTAAGAAATTGTAGAATGGTTTTTAACTCACTTTTACCTTGAAATAGCTTTAAATGTATGCATTTTATGAAATTCTAAAGTTAAATATTTAATTTTTCAATTTTGGTTTTGGAAAAAAACTATTTTTTAAAAAAATTTCCTTAAAAATTGACAAAGCTATGACATATTTATACTCAAAAGTTTTAAGGAGATCTTTCAATCTAATGTAAAAAAATTAAATTTGATTTAAACTGAAATTTTTATGACTATTTTTCTTTTTTGATTTTGCTCGACATCCGACTTTCAGAGTCAAAAAAGTGCTCTTTGCTAAGAGAACACTTGTTCATTTTAATGCATTAATTGATAGCATATCCAGAGAGCTTTCTAAAAGTGAATTCTACTACCATGGGTATCTCTGAAGCACTACAGCGATTTTTGTCAAAAAATTGGTATTTTTTTGAAATTATATTATATACAGAAAAGTTAAAGCTTTTGATGTAATCTTTAATATAAAAAAGAAATTAGTAACATTGGTTCTACTTGTGAATACCTAGACAAACGAAAGTGTGACGAACGGGTGGTTTTTGAGAAAAATTAAAATAATCTTAAAATCTCAAAATCTTCAGGTGTTTTAAATCTCATAATCATTTTGAAAAAAATATAAGTGTATCTGAGATTGTTTCTATTTTTGACTTGATCTTTTCGATTAATATATTTAAATTTAAAAAAATCCAAAAATTAATATAAAAGATTTAAAAATTTAAAAAAATCATTTTTTTTTAAATTTTGTAAAACTGTTTCCCTTTTATAACTTAAAATGAAAATTCATCAAATTTAGACGGTCCAATTTAGAATATATTTGAAAATATGAAATCATTGAAAAGAGTCTAAATATGCGATGTATGACACGGTTTGGACGAAATTTTCAAATTTTGATCCATAACTAGAAGTAGACATAAATCAATTGCGGACGGTCTGATTAAAAATATTTTTGTTAATTTGGAATTCTTATTGAAAATAGATATTTTTAAACATATAACATGACATTGACGATTTTTGGACATAAGTCACTTGTGGACGGTCCAATCCAAAATATTTTTACAGATTCTGAATCCTATTAAAAAGTAAATATGTTTAGACATGTCACATTCCACATTCCAAATTGACCAATTTTAAGATCCAGAAAGGTACGGTCTGTTCCGAAACTTTGATAAGCCATAACTCCTGTCCGTTACTTCCGATTCGGAAAATTTTTGAATGACGAAATTCGACGAAATTAGGAGATGTGTTTTGATATATAATATGTCAGTTAAAGCTTGTTTTCAAGATTCTTACCAACTGAAGTTAGCCTGCAATATACCCAAAAGTTGAAGCTGCTGTAGCTTGTCAAGGAAGACTTGACGAAATTCGGGGTTTGCTTGACGAAATTCGACGATATTATTACAAAATTATGGTAAAGGTTTCAAATCATTTGGTGATAACACGCCGGCTAACTTCAGTCACACTTATTTTGGGCGAAGTCACTAAAAAGGTGACTTTTTTACAATCCTCAGGTCGCTGGTTCAAGCCTCACAACGAGCAACTTTTTTTTCATTCTTTTTTTACACTTTTTTGATTATTAGATAATGATGTTTTATGGTAAAATTTTCCATGCATTTTCCGGGTTTTTCACGGAGTTTTATTATTTTTTCCATACATTTTTCATGCAAAATTACTTTTTTTGCCATAACTTTTGTATCTTTTACCCTATTGAGCTGAAATTTAGCAAGTAGACACAGTGGCTGTTCCTGAATATGGAACCAACGTCATTTTATGATTCCAGGGTTGGTAACCTATTTAAAAAAAAATTTTGCGTTGACTTTGAACTTTTTTGATTTTATGAGCTGAAATTTGGCAGGTAGACACAGTTGTTGTTCCTGAATATGGAACCAACGCCATTTTATGATTCCAGGGTTGGTAACCTATATAAAAAATTTTTTTGCATTGACTTTGAAATTTTTTTATTTTATGAGCTGAAATTTGGCAAGTAGACACAGTGTAGTTCCTGACTATGGAACCGACTCCATTTATGATTCCAGGGTTGGTAACCAA